AGTCAGAAACAAAAATAATTTTGCTGGTATTATTGTGTTTTTAACGCAAATGTCTGTATTAAGGAAATCCAACTTTTGTAACTAATTCAATAGAGTGGGAAGGTCAGATTCCCTTTTAAAATGAAGCACTCCTGCTGCCCAAGGAAAAACTTGGAGGGAAAATAACAGGAACCTGTTCAATTTCAGTCACTCAATTCTGAGACAAGTTTACCAATGGTCAAAGTAAAAGCCAAATACTTCAACATTCAAATAAAAATAAATTATGTCTCACTTAATAATCTAAAAAAGTAGAGGACTGTTGATGAGTTTCCCTTAGCAGAAGAACTAAACTGTTTGCTGCCACACTTCTTTGCTTAATGTCGAACGGGTTCAAATAATGTCTCAAATGTCTTTGCTTCCCTAGGGCACTCGAGTTCAGAGGAAATTAACACCCTCAAATTACTTATCTTATCATTTAGCAAAAAAGGTTTCAATCAGAAAAAATTAATGTTGGACAAATTTATAGATTTATTCTTGCAGTATACTTTTCATGTCGGTGCCAACTTGCTTCTTCATCTCTGTTCATATATTTGCCGTATTTGCCGTGAATTAGATGTTCATTTTATTACGCATTATGTAGAACCTTAGTCTTGTGATCAGCAAATGCCTTCTTCCTGGCACTTTTGCCTCTTCTGTTCGCAACAGCAGATGTCAAAATAAGATACTGAAGAGTCACTGAAAGAAAGCACATACAGATGGCAAAAATCACCTACAAAATCCATAAAATAGGGTAAGAGTCCAAGCAAATACAACTTATAAATAGGGAATGGATCATCACCTAACAAATACAGAGGGGTGGGGGATGGTTACATTAAGTCACACAAACAAAGCAACACAACCATACATCAAAGGTACACACTGTAAGGCAGTTATCTTTAAACAGATTTTGATGGGAAAAAGAAAGACAGAAAATATTCTGTAACAAACCAAAAGGCGAATACAGAGCATTTTCTCCTCTCTTACTCTTACCCTTGTAATGCTGTTTAGATAATTACTGCTAAATGTTGCAGCACAACTTCAAACAGTTTACTTCAAACAGAACTTCATGGGGAGAAGAAAGACAAAAAAAAATGACTTGTAACAAACCATACGGCGAATACAGCTCATTTAATTCTTCTCTTTCTCCTTCCATGTAATTGCTGTTGTCAAAATGAAAGCAGAAAAAGAAAATACTCCGTAACAAAACCAGACGGCGAATACAGAGCATTTTAATCCTCTCTTACTAATACTCAAGTATTGCAGCAATACAAATGGCAAAAGTCACCAACAAAATCTATAAAATAGGGTAAGAGGAATATGTCATCACCCAACAAATGCAGAGGGGTGGGTGATGGTTAAATTAAGTCACACAAACAAAGCAACACAACCATACATCAAAGGTACACACTGTAAGGCAGTTATCGTTAAACAGATTTTGATGGGAAAAAGAAAGACAGAAAATACTCTGTAACAAACCAAAAGGCGAATACAGAGCATTTTCTCCTGTCTTACTCTTACCCTTGTAATGCTGTTTAGATAACTACTGTTAAATGTCACAGCACAACTTCAAACAGTTTACTTCAAACAAAACTTCATGGGGAGAAGAAAGACAAAAAAATGACTTGTAACAAACCATACGGCGAATACAGGTCATTTAATTATCTTTCTCCTTCCATGTAATTGCTGTTATCAAAATGAAAGAAGAAAGAAAGAAAATACCCCGTAACAAAACCAGACGGCGAATACAGAGCATTTTAATCCTCTCTTACTAATACTAGAGTATTGCATTTAGCAAACCAAAATTTCTGAGAAAGACAGACAGAAAATGCTCTGTAACAAAACCAAACGGCGAATACAGAGCATTTTCATCCTCTCTTACTCGTGCTTAATTCATTGCTGTTAATGAAGTAACCGTTATCTGTTAACAGAATCTAATGGGGAAAAGAAAGGAAGAAAATGACTCGTAACAGAACCATAAGGCGAATACAGGTCATTTAACTCTTCCCTTGCTCCTGCCCATGTAGTGCTGTTCAGGTAAAGTTCTGCTGATGTCAAAATAAAATGTGTTCACCTGACAAACAAGAATTGACAATCACAAGATCCACCATTTTTCGTTAAACACCAAAGGCCCACATTACACAGTTATCTAATTTAACAGACCCTGATGGTGAAAAGAAAGACAGAAAACCATCCTCCTTTCTTTCTTTTCCCCACATTGTGCTGCTTGAACAGCCTAAACAGTTGTTCAAGTTTCTCACCACATCAGTTTAAGAAGATGATATGTAAATAATTTTGCAGAAAGGTGAATAGTGTTGAAAGTGGCCTAGACATGTAGAATTTCTTGATGCGTGCTGGACATTATAGCCCCCAGTCTTCTTTTCCCAGCAGCCTCTTTTCATTTCAACAGCAAAATATTGGTCCCAAACTTTTCATGGGCTTGAGCTTGAGCAGTATTAGAGAACATTTAACTCTCTGTCTGAAAATTGACAAGAGACAAATATTACCAGAACTCAATTTGTAAGGTGATGGCAATTAATTTCTTATGAACTTACTGTGGACACAGAAGGATCGGACAAAAGAAAAAGAGCAAAATTTTGAAGGAAAACAGCTGCAAGTTAGTATCAATAACTTTCAAGGTTGCTGATTACCTGTAATAATTAAGTAAGTTCATTTAAGATCTCTCAGTTCTGTGAAAAAACATCGATATCATGAATAAAACAACTTACCTCCAAAAGAAATTGTCAAGGTGATGACGAAGAGCTAGCTCAGTGGTAGGAGCAGATTTCTTGACACCTCTCCAAAATTTTCGAAAGTAGTAAGGAAAACCACTGAACCTCCTATCTTATGAAATGAAACTCTTGTTAATCCTTATGGGAAATAGTTAAAATATGAAAAAGATAAGTAAGGGGTCCCTTTTGCCTAGATATAAAGAAAAATTGACTCCCAGATCTGCCTTTGAAGTTATGCTGTCTATCAAGACCATACGATAAAGCTCCTATCCTGCCGCCCAAACTGCACCTTTACACATGACCAATAATGAGGCCAAAACAGTGTCTGCACACTGTGAGAGTAAATGGCACAGCCAAGTACAAAGTTATAAGTTGTGCTGACCTGTCAAAACCAAGAGTTTGTTTGCCTTAATTTTACAGTGAGTCCTATCCTATTGTAATATTGTAAAAATGGAAGAGAACACTCACTATTAGGGATGGAACCTCCCCTTTAAAAACTGGGGGAAATTCACATTTATCTACAAAAGACCAAAAATTAAAATGTCCTTGACTATCATGCCACAATGAAGGTTATTACAACCACAACCCTACCTACAAGAAAATGGGAACCATGAATGCTGCCTGCATCATGGGCCCCTCCAGAAGTAATATTTTACTCGGTTATTTGTGGGCTCCTGGAATAAAGCCCTGATCTTCCCTAAGCCTTTCACTAAATATCTTGTTTGAAAATTAAGTAAGAAAGAATAATAATTAAAACATCATTCTTACCCTGCCCTCAAAATGAGGCCAAAACACTGTATCCAAAGCAATAGTAACTCTGTGGGAAAAATGATCGGGATGGTGTGAGCCTCCCCAAAGTTATGAAGGTGTCCAATTTGTAATATGCATGAACCTTGGGAGTTCAGGCATATGCTAATTGTATAAACACCCGCAAAAACTCCACCCGGCATCATCTACCCTGTGAGAACAAACGCCATGACACAGCAAAAGAAAAAGTACCTCGGATATGATACCTGAACCTTTGATCAACCACACCCATTTTTGGAACAAAAACACTGACTGGACTGATAAAAAATAACGTTTTCACATTCTGCCTGCTACAATCCCAGCTCCATAATCGCCTAGTAACTCTGTGACACAGCTAGAGAGAATCTTATATCTTGATTCACCAGAGATTTTTTTGCGTCAAAAGAATTCATCCCACTCACACAAACTGAAAATAACCTGGCAAAAATAAAGCAAAAGCTTTAAATAGAATTAGGTTTTACTTCATTATTGTAAGTTTAGTGTTAAACCATAGAAATACAGACCTTGAGCCAAACACAGATTTAGTGCTTTGTTTACATAATCCTCGTCTTGTATCCTACCGTCTCCTATCTCCAAACCAAAAGGATAATTGTAATTTGGAATAATGCTGAAACAAAATAGAGAATATAATTAGAAAAAAAAAACATATCCTGCCGGAGGGGGTGGAAATATCCATAAATCAATCCCTTACCTATTCTTCAGAGGGAGAAGAATATCGACCTTCTCTGATATACCCTTCATTAGGTGGAAAAGAATTTCAACTTCATTTCAAACTCAAAGTCATGGTGCTTAGATTGTAGCCACCTAGCAACAAACAGACATAAATGCTTAATTACGATATCTTGAACGCCTTTTTCATTAGTGCAATATACTGATTGTTGAATCACATAAAACTTTAAAACTACCTACTTTTCTTCACAGTCCAAAATGTTTCTGAAAAGGATTAGGAATGAAGGTTGAAAGTTTCTGCTGCTCGACTTCCCCTAGTCTCAAATTAACCTGCAATCAAACATACAATTTAAAGAAAGATACTTAATGATCCTTAGGCAGTATCAATGTATGCACCTCACCTGAAACCCGAGGAGGTTACTTCCAACAAGTAATCTCTTTGAATCATAAGTTTTGTAGATTGTAACTGAAATCAAAGTAAGGAGCAACTAAATGTTAAGTGTAGTCTTCAGGAAAATATACGAGACATGCAATAATCAGGAGACTGTACGACATAATTAGAGAAGATTGATTCAATCAAAGGAAGAAATAATTTATGGTAATGAAAATCATTTGAAGTTGCAGGCAGTTGTACAAGTATACCAAAGTAAGGTAAATATCGAACTGAATAATGTTTCTGAAGAACGATTGCATGCTGTTTGAAATTTATACAGGATGCAACAATGTTAAATATGATGTGAAAGGCACCATACCCAAATTCCAATGTGAAAGAAACTTCTCATGATCGTTACCTGCTCCTGTTCTGCCATGCTGAAGCAAGCCAATATTTGTGGTGTTCAGCACTGCTATGCTCACTAATGTTCTCCTTTCCTCCAACTGTCATAGTGACTGCAGATCGTCTCAGAATTATCTCCTGAATTTCTCTGTTGGTACTGACGTTTCCTTTCAATGACTGAAATTGAAAATAAATGATTTAATCAATGTTATGTAGGCTCACTCACAGGTTTGCCAAGAAAAACGAAACATCAAAAAGTATCTGAGGGACTTGGGCTCGAGAAAGGTACAAAAAGCCACACGAAAATAAATGTTTGGCATCAATAGGCAATCAGGTGTTTGGTAGCCGAAGTCCGACTAGAGGTTAGGCCTCAGGCAAGGGGTAGTACAATACGAAATGTAGTCAAACGATAGAAATAAGATCCGCGCAAGAAGGAAGTGGAAAATACTATCTTGAACACGCACTTCACCCAATTAATTGGTTGAAGTGATATTATAACGTACCATAACCTTCCTGTTCGTTTTGTTTACAACCACTTGAAGAAGGACACAGCAGTACATAGCACAATACTGATGCAAAAGTAACGCTACTTTTCGATTCAATGCGAAACCACAAATATTTTAAATGCCAACTCTCGGTTAAATTTTCCTCACTAGAAAACATTTTGCACAAGTGATTAGACTAGGGTCATTCTCGTCATTCTGTCATGGAGAGATCATGGGGACATATGGTAATTTGGTATCCCCTCCAGAAGGCCAAAGTGACACGCACGAAAACGGCGTTATTTCAACAGTGGTTAGTACTCTTTTTAAATTCGTCAGCCCTTAAAATTTCATCTTAAAAAAAAGGAACAAAAAATTGCCTGAAGTAAATTGAGAATACTCACTTGAGTCTACTAAAATTTAGTTCGAACGAAGTATGAGCAGTTGGTACTGCTTACTCAATGGCGCGGAATTCGAATTCAAAGCTTCTTGAAGGTTTTTTTTGCAGGCAATTTTGCCCGACAAATGAAATGCAAATCAAGCGGAATCACGTTTTCACGGTCTAATGATAATGAGAGATCGGCTGAGCAAACTTTTTAAAAATCTTACATTTGGACTATGCCTGAGGCCGAAGGCAGATCCCACCAAGTTTAACATTTCCCCTACCCCTGAGGCATACGCCAACCAATACAAACATAAACAAAAACAAACACTGTTGCTTCGCACTGGCGATGGCGGGCCTCATGCCAACGCCTGCTTCTCGAAGCAATTCCACAAATTTTGTCGACGAAAATGGCTATGTCTACTCAAAGAGGGCGGAACATGGCACAACGCGATACATGTATTGCAAGACTGTTGGATGTTCGGCACATGGACGAGATATTCTAGGGGTTTTCCAGCTGGACGTACCTCACGAGCCCCTATGCCGGCCCAACCCCGATCAACTTCTTCTCAATAGAATGCGTGAAGAAATTAGACAGCTGGCGCGACAATCCGGCCGCGTCGAAGAGTCCTTCCGCACAGTGGAGAGAAACCCTGAGTAAGTACTGAAAGCTGAAGTCTGAGGTTACGCGCTTCTTGGAATCAGCCCCCCGTCCCCCCGACCACAGGTGATATGTGTGCGTGAGAGAGAGAGAGAGCGAGAGCAGGCGCGGGGTATTGCCAGGCCCAGCTCAGCTGGTGCATACTTTTGCAACCTCTGCTTGGATGTTATTTGCCAAGTACTCTTCGTGTCTCTGCTTTTCATCAGAAAGTGTTTGAAAAAAGTAAAAAATATTCAGCTAAAATATTAAAACTTGAGATGTAATGATGGCACCAAAAGAATCTGTTGAAACTTACGTTATTTGGATTGATATCGGAACCTGTAAATTTTTGCTGTTTTGATGTTGACCATACACCCTTGTCATACATGAACTGAAATGTAAGGGTACATCTGGGTACATTAAGAAAACCAGTAATGGGTTTTGCCAGTCCATTTTCGCACAAGACTTCTTTATTGTAAACAGTGGGTCACTTTTGGCTCTTGCTGCTTTATATATATATATATATATATATATATATATATATATATATATATATATATAATATATATATATATATATATATAAATATATAAATATACACACACATAAGTGTGTTGCGCATGTTGTACCACAGTCAGAAGAAAGTTAACGAATTGAATTAAATCTTGATTTGGACCAGGCGATGAGTGAATTGCACTTTGAATAGTATTAGACGATTCATTCTATCTTACCATCATATGCCTCCATTTAACTGTTGAGTTATTTCTTCAATTTCCTTTCTGAAAATTGTTTGCTTTGAAAATAACACTCCATTTTGATTCAATGTAAAAATTCCTCTATTTTCAAGCAAATATTTCTTTGTGGGTAAGTGATGTCTGGCTGAAAATTTTGTTTCAAATGTTCCATTCTTATCCTCTTTTCAGGTACAGAACTGTAAGACATCTCATTACTTTAGACAGCTTCAACTCATCGATACGTCGAGCTGCGAGTTTGAGGCGACCTAATCCAGTACACTCAGTGGAGGCGTTCGTGCAGGCTCTACAAGGCAACGAGCATTACCGCACAAATACTGATGGTGAAGAGTTTTACCTTAGAGCCATCACAGTTGACGACCGGATCCATGTGGTGTTTGGGAGTGTTGCCACATTGAGGGCCTTGGCAGATGGGAGAGACGTCGAGCTCCATGTTGACGCAGCTGTAAAGACCGTGCCGGCCCTCTTCCAGCAGTTGTTTGCGGTCCAGGTCGTGAATGGGGATCACGTAAGTAGCCGTCCACGGATCGAGTCCTGCCAAGCGGTTCAGAGGATCGCTTTGTCGCTCCATCTCCCATGCGCCCTTACGGAGAGCCCCATGAGTGCGACAGAGACAGAGCAACGAAATGAATCTTCTGAAACGCTCGGCTGGTAAGCGTTTAAAACAGAGGCCACATAACGTGACTTGCAACGCAGCCCGCACAGCTAACGCTGAGAGGCGGTGGCACAGCGGCGTTGGCGCCGCCGCGGAAAGAGGGGCGGGGAAGAGCCAGGTCACCCGAGTCAGGACTCGGCCAGGATTGTTTTTGATACGCGACACGCGGCCACCGATGAGTCAGTAGACTGATTCCGAGAGTCGTTCTCGTCGGTCCGTCTCTCTCGCACCTGTACGGAAGGCCCATGAGTGTGAGAGAGACAGACCGACGAGAGAGGACTCGGAATCAGACTGCAGCTACGGTGGGTACCAACCGGACCCGCGCTTCCCCCTCCTCCCCCTCCCCTGCAAGCACGTGTTGACAGCCACAGTACAAAAATTCATTGTGGCATGAATACGTCTGGATCATGTGGAATACGCGTATTTCGCGTGGATCCTGTTCAACGCGCACACCGATCACGTACATTGAGTTCCCCTTCGGCTTCGACCCCCTTCCCGCGACGGTTCGAACGGCTGACCGAAAGTCTGCAAGGTTGTACGGTCCTTATGGATATGGAAAAACTTCCAAGACTCTCCTGGAACATCATGCGTTTTTAGGGGTTCCGACGAAGGAGGACCCCTATTGCCCGGGACGGAAAATTTTTTTTTCTTCCGCCGACGCCAGTCTAAAAATGGTTTCCGCCAAATTATTCCTTATCGTAAAAAAATAAAAATTCCTGAAAATTTCGAAAATTTATCGTAAGAATTTAACGTAAACGACAAAAACATAAATTTGCAACAATGAAGCACCCTTATCCCTTCACATTTTCCAGAAACGTTTCAAAGACAAAATGTGCTACTCCCCAAAACTAAGCATCCTGACTCATCAAAGTGACAAAAAATCGTCTGTGTTCTAAGAAAATGGTTAAAACATGAAAAAAAGTCTCCATGGCAACGACACAGTGCCATCGTACCAACTGTCAAAATTTAAAGTCGCTGATAAAAAGAAATCGAAACGCCGTGAAATTCGAAAATGCCAATGCTAACGCATTGCACCGTGTCGCGACATTGCAACATCTTTGAAGTCTGTCAGTAAAAAGTTCGTAGCAGAAAAGACGCAATAAATTAATTTTCGGGGGTTGGCAACAATTTTGTCGGCGTCTGCGCCCTTTCGAAAATCGCGGGGCTGAAAAAACGAGTAGTCGCGCATTGAAACTGCCCCTCCATTGTTGCTGAGGTTGGATTGTTTGGCTTGCTTTTAAAGGTTGCGGTTCTCTTGTGATGTTTTCCTCAATTCTGTAATCAGCACGACGGTTGGTTTGACAAATTATATAAACTCGGAACGCAGATGACTTTCGTTTGGCGAACATGAGCACTGTAAGTCGCGAGATCGCGAGATGGCCTGAGATGGCCATTGTGTTAACTGAATCAGGTTTGGGATGTAAAAATACCGGTAGGATTCAAAGTTACGTAAACAACGGTAAAATTAACGTAATTAACGTTTAGACGACAGACTCCAAATTGATTTCCACAACCGGAACACCGTGCAATGCGATAGCATTGGAATTTTTTGTTGTGTCTTTTTTTCTTTCGTGCGCCTGGCACCCGTTTCCAGGACCATCCTAAAAGAAACGGACGCTTTCGACCTGGACGGCCCTGGAAACGGGTGGTCGGCCATCACTCATTAAACGGCACAACAAGGTAATACTTCCGTTATCAGTAGAAATCCTCCCCTCAGAATCACTCCCCGCGCCTTTCTCGGGCTCGCGAACGCCTGGTGGGTAGGCAGCTCCGCAGGCACGCCTGCTCAGCGGGCGGGCCTGCGCTGCGCTCGGCAGGCGCTCGGCCCGGTGCACTGCACAGAGGGCCGGTGGAGGCGTTCCACATTCCGGACGCGTTTCGAGCTCCAGCAGACTGATTCCGCACAGTGTGGAGGGGCCCACCAGCATTGCCCTGTCTCTCTCCCACTCATACGTACTCTCGGTCTGTCTCTCTCGCAGCGGGCCCCTCCGCACTGCGCGGAATCAGGCTGCAGAGTCGGCCTGCGTTGGTCTTCTGGCCCACAGGCCTGTGCGTGCACGGCAGGTTAAGCTGTCAGGATAGGCGAGGTCCGAGGGTCTTTTCTACAGAACTCTAAAACAGCGGCCCCTTTGAGGCCGCAGGCGACCTCCCGCAAGCCACTGCCGGCTGATTCCGATCACTGCTTTCGAAGCTGTCTCTCTCTCTCACTTAGGGGATGCCCCATGAGTGCGAGAGAGACAGAGCGGTGAGGGCAGTGCTCGGAATCAGCCTGCTGGCGAGCGGCCTGCGCCTGGATGGACAGTGACTCGTAGGGTTGACAGCGGTCTGCAGCGGCCGAGGCGGTCGGTCTGATGCAGCCCGAGCCGGCCGCCTGCGTGCACAGGCCACGGTGCGGCCTGAGCGGCCGGCCAGTGGAGCCGTTTTTAGAGACCTCTGGTCTCGTACCCTGGACTATAACCTCACCTAGCCTGGACGAGGCTTAACGAATCTTAGTATGGTGCGAGTAGCCACCCTACAGCGCCCCGGCACCCGCAGATGGGAGAAGTTGCCGCGCTGCACAGTGGGCCAGAAGACTGGCGTATGCGGCCGAATTTCTCGACGCGCCACACGTTCGGTTCGAGTCCTGTTTAGCGACTCTGGAGCTCAAAACGCGTCCGGAATGTGGACAGCCTCCACCGGCCCTCTGGCCCACTGTGCGGTGCATTGGTCGTCCGAGCGCCTGCCGGGCGCAGCGTAGGCCAGCCCGCTCAGCAGGCCTGCGGGCCTGCCTGAGACCTAGAAGAAAGGCTCGGTTAGTGAATTTGAGAGGATTTCTTCTGCAAACAGCAAAAGTACCATGTTTTGCCGTTTAATGAGTGGTGGCTGGGCTAGGCTGGGCCGGCTGCTGGCCAAGAAAAGAGATGGTGGGGTGCTGACAGTCCACCACTGCGTACGTTTCCAGGCCTGTTGTTTAAAATACGATTAACGCAATAGCACTAATATGTATGAAAAACTCTATGTTAACAGGTGTTTGGAATTTTGTATGTCCTCATGACGCGGCGGAGAGAGCCAGATTACCAGGCCATATTGGAATACCTTCGCGACTCGTTCCCCATGAACGTCGTGAGCGTAATGGCTGATTTTGAGAGGGCGCTTCGAAATGCTGTTGGTACAGTGTTGCCTCAAGCAAGGCTCAATGGCTGCTGGACCCATTACTGCAGAGTAAGTAATGGTGTAATGTCCCAGCCATCTCTTGCCACCGCTCAGTGGGCCAGAAGACCGGTACAGGCGGCCAAAATTCTAGGTGCGTTTTGAGCTCCAGAGTCGCTAAATCGGACACAATCGAACCGAAAGGAAATGAAGGCATTGTAGAATTGCTTCATATTTTGAAGAAATGCTTCGTATTACAAAGGATTTTGCTTCATAATACGAAGCATTTCTTCGGAGGATTTACAATGCCTTCATTTTCTTCGCATTACGAAGCGATTCTTCGTAGAGTTTTTACTGTGCACCAATGGATTCCTCGTTCAGAGAGCAACTCTGCAAACTCAACAGTGTACTCAGTACACTCTAGTTAGAGTGTGCTCATGAGTACAGTCTAACTAGCGTGTACTCGGATGAGTACACTCTAACTAGAGTGTACTGAGTACACTGTTGAGTTTGCAGAGAATCTATTGGAGGGGCCACACGTTCGGTTCGAGTCCTGTTTAGCGACTCCAGAGCTCGTAGCGCGTCTGGAGTTTTGGCCGCCTCCGCCCCACCGGTCTTCTGGCCCACTGTGCGTCCTGCCCGCCGCCGCCTGAATAGCACTCCACCTGCTTCGAGTCTGCGGGTCTGCAAGTCCCTTAGCCGTGACTTAGCGCAAACGCAAAGAGTTGTGCAGCGGCACCCGCCTTCGTTCTCTCTGCTACGGTGGTGCTGCAACAAAGTCTGCAGTCACATGGCACTCCGGCGCCGTGTCTCTTTAGCCGCGTGGCTCGGGCCACCTGTTTTCAAGCTCATGGCCCCGGGTTCGAACCTCGACTTCATTGTCTCGCCATATTTTGGCGCGAAGTCTTTCCATCCAATTTGCAGTGTAGTAATTAAGTGTGTGTTGCCTATCCATCAGGGGCGATGAAACGTGATTCTGGCTTACGGTACATTCTGTAATTGGCCTTCTGGTATATTTCAGCGGGTCGACAAGCGCTGCCTCAGGGGGTCGTTGCCAGCCGTGTCGGCCACGGAGGACGGACACCGCCTCATCAGGATGGTAAAGGCACTGCCTCTCCTCCCGGCAGACCTCATTTTGAGGGGATATTTAGAGGTACTGCTGCCGTATTCTCGGCGTGTAGGCCAGAACGCCAGGGAAGCAAGGGACTTGCGCACCTTCATGAGGGCATATGTTCGGGGTTTCTGGTTAACTCGGGTACGTACTATGTCGTACGGAGGAAATACTTGAGCCGAACACCATGAAATAAGTGGGGGAGGGGGGGCTCGTAGCGGGATCTTTCATAACAATATGGTTCCAACTAGGTTGGCACCGATCAACTGTCTGTGGCTGGCCTCCGAAGAAGGACCAACAATGATTCAGAATCATGGAATTCTTACTTGCTTCGAGTATCTGCCACAACACAGGACAATACATGGAATTACACAGGTAGTGGTGCTAATTTTTACATTGTTGTTGGATTTTGTGCAACCGTCACTAATGGCCAGCTACAAAACTGTTATGCCTTGTACTTTTCAGAAACACTACAGAATATTGAGAGCAGGGACAGAAATGACTTTGCTAGGTGGGACAATGATGCTGTCCCGCCTAGGAGACCAAGAGGAAACGCCATGAAGGAAAGGGACGCCCGCATCAAAAAAGCCTTAGAAAATCTGGTGGGGCGAGATGGGCGCAATGTCCCAACTACAGCCCAACTGGACACCTTCCTGAGGTCAATGGCTTATGTTACCTACGACATAATTCCCATGCCCCGTGGTATGTAGCATGCCTTCGGTAAAATGCACAGTTAAAATGACCGAAATAACTACTCTCAAATATTTTAAGGTGTTGAGGACCTTGACGACGAGGAGGGCCTCGATGTCGATGAGCCCATGGACGATGACGAGGATGATGACGACGGTGGCGACGACCCTCCGGATGCACAACCAGTTGACCGCGCCCGACCCCCGGCCGAAGTTGTCGTCGAAGCTGGGCCTGCCCCTCAACAAGGCGCTGCAGCTCCCGGCCGCGGCCCTGCTCCCCGACCAGCCATGGAAGTGCGGATCGAGCTGCTGCCCAGTGCACCGCGCTGCCCTGCGTCCGCTGGAGGTGGCGTGGCCCTCCGGATGCACAACCAGTTGACCGCGCCCGACCCCGGCCGAAGTTGTCGTCGAAGCTGGGCCTGCCCCTCAACAAGGCGCTGCAGCTCCCGGCCGCGGCCCTGCTCCCCGACCAGCCATGGAAGTGCAGGATCGAGCTGCTGCCCCAGTGCACCGCGCTGCACCTGCTGTCCGGCGCCTCGAAGGTGGCGACGGCCCTCCGGATGCACAACCAGTTGACCGCGCCCGACCCCCGGCCGAAGTTGTCGTCGAAGCTGGGCCTGCCCCTCAACAAGGCGCTGCAGCTCCCGGCCGCGGCCCTGCTCCCCGACCAGCCATGGAAGTGCAGGATCGAGCTGCTGTCCCACTGCACCGTGCTGCGCCTGCCGTTCCACTGGACCCGGTAGCTGTTGATGCTCCCGACCTCCCTGAACTACCTCAGCGGGAACTGAGCAGGCACGAGAGGGCAGCGGCTGCAGCCGCTGCTGCTGTCCGGCGCCTGGAAGAAGCTGCGCGGCAAGCGGCCCCAGCTCCTCAGCCGCCCGAAGCAGCCACTTCCCGTGGCCAATCGCTGCTGGCTGCTGGTGGTGATGTGAGCCAAAGACCTGCGCGGCAAGCGGCCCCAGCTCCTCACCCGCCCGAAGCAGCCACTTCCCGGCCAATCGCTGCTTGCTGCTGGTGGTGATGTGAGCCAAAGACCTGCGCGGCAAGCGGCCCCAGCTCCTCACCCGCCCGAAGCAGCCACTGTTGGCCAATCGCTGCTGGCTGCTGGTGGTGATGTGAGCCAAAGACCTGCGCGGCAAGCGGCCCCAGCTCCTCACCCGCCCGAAGCAGCCACTTCCCGTGGCCAATCGCTGCTGGCTGCTGGTGGTGATGTGAGCCAAAGACCTGCGCGGCAAGCGGCCCCAGCTCTTCACCCGCCCGAAGCAGCCACTTCCCGTAGCCAATCGCTGCTGGCTGCTGGTGTTGATGTGAGCCAAAGACCTGCGCGGCAAGCGGCCCCAGCTCTTCACCCGCCCGAAGCAGCCTCTTCCCTTGGCCAATCGCTGCTTCCTGCCGGTGGTGGTCCCAGTAGAAGGTTAAAAAGGCTGGAAAAGCTGAAGAGGATGAGGGAAAAGAGAAAGGCAGGCGGGCTCGCACAGCTTAACAATCCTGTTCAGGAAGGTAGGATGCTGTCTTTCAACTTAACGGACAAATTTGTAAAGATTGTGACTTGATCGTTTTTTTGTCTCTTTGTTTTTGTTTTGGGGAGGGAAAGGGAAACGAATCCTCACACTCCAATTCATTTAAATTTCTGTTTACAGCATCTTCATTCCACCTGCTGACTGAACAACCGTTTGCAAGCAGCCAACCCCCAGTAGAAGTTGTCGTCCCAGCAGGGCCTCCCCGTCAACAGGGCCCTGCAGCAGCTGCCGGCGGCCCTGCTCCCCGATCAGCCGTGGCAGTGCAGAATCAAGCGGCCACCTCATTTGTCTTTCAGACCGCACGAGGAATGTGGGTCGACACTTCTACTCTCCCAGGTAAGGCTTTAACTTTGAAATAATTTTACCAGCACCGTAAAGAAAATACTGAAATTTCAGATAACATTAGGAGTAACTTAATTCACAGCATATGGTTCTGAAATTACTGACACAATAACACAAAATTTTAACGTTGCATTTTCAAGATTTTGTATCAAGCGCTCAAATATGGTGATTAAATTTTCTCAAGTGATGCAACCAGTCTGACACTTAAGGCCAATACCCCTCCCTTTTTGAGAACAATAGTCTCAAAATGCGCCACCGGTCTGAAATTTAAGACCAGACCACTCTGCTTCCCTTTTCAGGAGTCTGAAGATGCGACTCAGACTACATGTTATCTTGTACTTAGTCTGAATTTTCAGTCATTTCTATCAGACTTTTTATCTGGATAGTCTTAATTTGTTCTTAAGACTTCGAAAGTCATTTGCATGCTTCTAGTCCTACTTTGAAAATCAGACCACTAAAGTCATAAAATTGGTCTGAGTTTTCCAAAAAAAAAATTTAAAGTGAGCAATGAAAAATGTGCACGGGGGTTTCGAACCTCCCGCACCACACGAACTATTCACACAAAACACATTGCAAACGCATGTTGTCAGGATCATCCCGAGGACTCTTGGAGCACCCTGACGACCTGACCAGGCCGTGGTGGCGTCCTCGCGTGCTCTACTCGTCAGACGAGGAGTTGGACACGGACAGAGGTAATGGTAAGTCCCTTCGAACTTTGGTGAAATGGGTGAATTTCTTCAAGTGAAGTTCAAATGTTGAATGCAGGGGCACCTCGACGGAAGGTATTGCGTCGTAGGGCACCAACACCAACGCTGCAAGAGGATGAGAGATGGCCACCCGAGTCGAACGAGGGCAGAAATAATGGTAAGTCGCATCAAACTTTTGAATTTTGAGTGAATTGACTTTGTTTTGAACTTTGAATGTTGGCAGCAGGTCCAACTCCATGCAAGGTACTGCGTCGTACCGCACCACCACCACAAGAGGATGAAAGATGGCCGCATGAGTTTCTGCCTGATTTTCAGGCTCATGTGGCATCTTTGGCACCACCACCGGCACCGCCGCAAGAGGATGAGAGATGGCCACCCGAGTCGAACGAGAGCAGAAACAACGGTAAGTCGCACCAAACTTTTGAATATTGAGTGAATTGACTTTGTTTTAACTTTAAATGTTTGCAGCAGGCCCAACTCCACGCAAGGAACTGCTGGACGAAAGATGGCCACATGAGTTTCTGCCTCATTTTCACGCTCATGTGGCATCTTTGGCACCGTCTGCGCCGATGGCTTCCGGGGTGAACTGCACTGGCACTGCAACCGCAGCTATGGTGGCTGGTCCAGGCGCGGCTTCCAGGCCAGACCAGCCAGACCGGCTGGATCACACTGCAGTTGCGGTGTCTAGACGCACAGCTGTGTCTCCCATGACGGACGACGATGACTTCGCCTCGTCTCGAGCCTCGTCTTTTGTGACAATTTTGTTTATGAAACCAGATGTCGAGTGGTACCACTTACACGAATTTCCTAATGCGGAACCGCTATGTTCTCTTTATTTGTACTGCAACGTCAACAACTTTGCTTTAATGCCTATTAAGCTCTTCGAAATGTGTCCAAGACTCCGATTGATTCCGGACTCGGAAGTAGAAACTGTGCGGTCTTATTTTCAGACCTCGGAGGTTACAGTAAACGTTGTAGAAGACAACTCTGGTAATTATTACGATAATAGATGCGTTAATTCTTGGGTATATTACCGGAATCAATTGTAGTGAAACTGGCCTGAATTTTCTGTATTACAGAAAACGTTGAAATGGGACACAACCTCCTACAAGACGTAGCAGTGCAGGAACGGGCTGCAACCCCAGCTGCGCCTTCCCTTCCAGTGGACCCGGTCGCTGCTGTTGCTCCCGTTCTCCCTCTACCTGAGCCAGAGCGGACTGCAACCCCAGCTGCGCCTTCCCTTCCAGTGGACCCGGTCGCTGCTGTCGCTGCCGATCTCCCTCTACCTGAGCCAGAGCGGACTGCAACCCCAGCTGCGCCTTCCCTTCCAGTGGACCCGGTCGCTGCTGTCGCTGCCGATCTCCCTCTACCTGAGCCAGAGCGGACTGCAACCCCAGCTGCGCCTTCCCTTCCAGTGGACCCGGTCGCTGCTGTCGCTGCCGATCTCCCTCTACCTGAGCCAGAGCGGACTGCAACCCCAGCTGCGCCTTCCCTTCCAGTGGACCCGGTCGCTGCTGTCGCTGCCGATCTCCCTCTACCTGAGCCAGAGCGGACTGCAACCCCAGCTGCGCCTTCCCTTCCAGTGGACCCGGTCGCTGCTGTCGCTGCCGTTCTCCCTCTACCTGAGCCAGAGCGGGCTGCAACCCCAGTTGGTCGTGGCGTCCTAGCGCCCGTGGAAGACGGCGCTGAGCCTGATGCGCGGCATGGTCCCGCCGGAGCCCGAGGCGATCGTGGTCCCGCCGGAGCGCGAGGCGGCCGTGGTCCCGCCGCAGCGCGAGGCGATCGTGATCCCGCCGGAGCGCGAGGCGGCCGTGATCCCGCCGGGGCGCGAGGCGATCGTGGTGCACAGCCAGCCGAAGATGCGACCCCTCGGCGCCGAGTAAGACGAGGTGACTCCCAATTTCATTTTCAAATACTGTTCACAATTTATTCCCACAAGTCGTAGGTAAATTTGCAGGCTCTGCGAGAGAGGTGCTTATATGCCTGACAGAGCCGTGTGCTGAAAGCCCAGCCTTGAACCAGCACTTTTCCATTGGTTCTTGACTCTTTGTCATTGTTACGCAGGTGGTGGAAGAGCTGGCGAACAGCGACCAACGATTGAAAGACACAATCGAGGGATGGCCATCCCCGACAACAGCGTCTCGAGATTGCCGGGTGGCCACTGGCGGGTGGCATCTCAAGGTGCTAGAGGCCGTGGCCGTGCTGCTGGCCGTGCTACTGGGTACACCGTCCGCAGAACAGGGGAGCCGTTCTGCCTCTGCATGATGAGGTGCGGACGGTGTAACCCAGGCCTATGTGCGCAAATGTACACCTGCTCGTGCGCCGATTCCAGGCAGGGGCAGCTGTGCAAACACGTGCACAAGGTGCACGCCCTTCACGGTGGTGAGAATCATAATGATATGCGTTACGTTTTATTGTGGGGAGCATTTCTACATCGTTACGCGGAAACTTTGCAGGTAGAAACGTCGTTGACGTTGTGCACATCTCCTCGGGGTCTGAGGAAGAAGGCGCCCCTCCTCAGCAGGGCATGCAGCTGCGGCCGAGGCAAAACCGGATGGCCGTCGTTGATGTCAGCGAAGGTGCGCATTGAGTTGGCATATGCATATGTTTTTTAGTGACTCTGCCTTTTACCCAGTCCTTATTAATGCTCCTGATAATACAGACTCCGCGTCCGAAGACGACCCACTCAACATTCCGGGAGCATTGAATATACCAGACCCTCCACCACGTCCGCGAGCAGCCCCGCGACCAGACCCAGCCTGTAAGTCAACCATTCTTATGGTGTCGATGTCTGTTCCGTTTCGTTATTAATTCCACGCGGCCATCTTTTGTTTAGTGGAAGAACGAAGAGCCATTATACGGCAGCAAGATGCTGCGTATGAGGCAAGCCTTCGTGCAGACCGGGCGGCCACGGTGCAGCGGGAGGCGGAGGAAAGGGAGCGTCTGGCTCGTGAGCAGGAGGAAAGGGAGGAGGCCGAGCAGCGGCTGCGCGACCTCCCTATACTGGCTGCAGAACGAGAGGCTGCGCGCGAACGGCTGCCCCCCGAACCTCTCACAAACTACATCCTGATCCGCTTCCGGTTGCCCGTGGGGCACCAGGCAAGGACGCGGCGATTTGCACGGAATGGGGGCATTGAGGCCCTTCACGAATTTCTTTTTGTGGAGGGCTTCAACCATGTGCATCTCTTCTTGCCGCGGTCTACAGCCTGCCTCCCTGCCAGGGGCACTAGCGTTGAGGAGGCCGTGGGAACGTTCTCAATAACTCTGAACGTGGAGATTGTTGATGGTAAGTAACCCAAGGATGTGGGTAAGTAGCACCAGAATCCATCAAGCCGTTTCAATTTTATCTCAATTTTGACATTGATGCCAAAATGATTCTGCGCAACAGATTCTGTCAGCATGTCTGTGGTAGGCTACTTTTTCGTTTTAAAGACCTATTGTACAAAGTAACAAAGTGTTTTGGTGTTTAAAGAAGTCACAAAAAAAATCTATAATTTTGAAAATTTTTAAACAAATGCCATTGTGCAAAAACTTTCGCGCAGAATCCCTGTTGAGTGAAAAAACATGTTGTTAATAGTTTGCCAACAACTGTGGTTAGCCCTCAGCTAACCAACACAAAGACAGTCACAAGAAGCTTTTTTAAAATTTGTATGCTGCTTGGATATTTTCCATTCAACTTCACCATAAAAAGATACATACTCGCATCTTGAGTACAGGATTAGTAAAGAACAAAACTTATTTTTAATTTAGAACTTTTAGCTGTTTTTTTTTCACTGCAATAAATAATTCTTAATAGTTTAAAATTTCCTATTGTTTCTATCTAATCAGAATGATATTGTTTGTTGCAGCATCTGAGGAACCGTGCAGCATATGCTTAAGGATGTTAAGCACTGAGGTGTTCAGGGCAGAACTACCCTGCGGACACTTCTTCCACAGGAAGTGTGTTGAAACGCTACAACAAACCCAGAGGAGAAATAGGCAAAGACACACTTGTCCTAGTTGCCGCCGCCTATTCGTTAACCCGGAACGACGTCCCAACCATCAAGATTAATTTTATGTGTTGAGTGCTTAATTTTAAATCACAAAGCAGTGAGGTTCCTTTCAGGATTTTATTTGTGCAGCTGCTTTGCATCATGTCTTTACTTTTACCTCAATGTTTGTGAACGAAATTTAATTGTTATGCCTTCTGGTTATGTTCTTCTGCTAAGGGAAACTCATCAACAGTCCTCTACTTTTTAAGATTATTAAGTGAGACATAATTTATTTTTATTTGAATGTTGAAGTATTTGGCTTTTACTTTGACCATTGGTAAACTTGTCTCAGAATTGAGTGACTGAAATTGAACAGGTTCCTGTTATTTTCCCTCCAAGTTTTTTCCTTGGGCAGCAGGAGTGCTTCATTTTAAAAGGGAATCTGGCCTTCCCACTCTATTGAACTAGTTAGAAAAGTTGGATTTCCATAATACAGACATTTGTGTTAAAAACACAATAATACCAGCAAAATTATATTTGTTTCTGACTTAATTTCATGTAACAATGGCTTGGACTTTGATTTGAGACCAGAGTTGTGTGTCTGGGAAGGCTGTGACAAAAGTTATAGGAGAAACAAAATTACATCACCTGCGTTTCCAACACATGCTCAACGCTTCACTAAAGTTCAACTTGTTCTGATCATTAATGGCAAAATATTTTTCTTGAGAAGGGAGGCTAGATCATTCGATTGTATCTCGTACAAAGATGGGCCTTGAGCAATAAAAGATTTAGCTGAAAAACTTGCAAATGCATGACAGAGAGAAAAGTCAGGTGTACTTTCAAAGTTATTTTTATTTGTCACTGAATTTACCTTATATCTTGTTGAATAGACACAGACAGGGGCACCTCTAATAACTGCTTTTGTTAGAAGCAACATAATCATGGTTAACAAGTTATAAATGAAGATTAGGCCACCATTGGTATTTTACCAGAGACAAAAGAGATGGAACAATGATTTAGAAGCTCTGCATCTGACTGAATGTTTCTTTTTACAATTATTATTAGCAGTGTAGCTCTAAATGCGTAAAGTGACTTGAAGAAGCAACAGACTGACGTCATCTCTACTTTGACCAACATCGTTAACTGGTCTCAGAATTGATGAACTCAAATTTAACGGGTACTAGTAATTTCTTCGACAAAATTTTTCAGTGAAACCTAGAGTGCTTCATTTTAAAAGGGAATCTGACCTTCCCACTCTATTGAATTAGTTACAAAAGTTGGATTTCCTTAATACAGACATTTGCGTTAAAAACACAATAATACCAGCAAAATTATTTTTGTTTCTGACTTAATTTCATGTAACAATGGCTTGGACTTTGATTTGAGACCAGAGTTGTGTGTCTGGGAAGGCTGTGACAAAAGTTATAGGAGAAACAAAATTACATCACCTGCGTTTCCAACACATGCTCAACGCTTCACTAAAGTTCAACTTGTTCTGATCATTAATGGCAAAATATTTTTCTTGAGAAGGGAGGCTACATCATTCGATTGTATCTCGTACAAAGATGGGCCTTGAGCAATAAAAGATTTAGCTGAAATACTTGCAAATGCATGACAGAGAGAAAAGACAGGTGTACTTTCAAAGTTATTTTTATCTGTCACTGAATTTATCTTATATCTTGTTGAATAGACACAGGGAAAGGCACCTTTAATAAGTGCTGTTGTTAGAAGGAATATAATCATGGTCAACAAGGTAGAAATGAAGATTAGGCCACCATTGGTATTTTACCAGAGACAAAAGAGATGGAACAATGATTTAAAGGCTCTGCATCTGACTGGATGTTTTTTTGGCAGTCATTGTTAGCAGTGTAACATAAACAAAATGGATGCAGTAACCATCCTATATTACTTTCTTTTGCTACTGAAATATTTTTTTAAAACCGCATTTGGTGGCTACATGCTTCTCCATTTTTTAAAAAAAGGGGATACAAACAGGCCCTTTCTCAGCACCTAACAACAAATTAATCGTAAGAAATACATTTGCTTTTTAAAATTTTATCTGTGTGTGACATCTTTCCATGAAGGCTTAAAGCACTTCACTATACGTGCAAAACTCAACACCAATACGTTGCAGAGAGAAGCGCAGAGCAGCAACATCGGTGCCCACCTTCCCTTGGGTTCACCTGAAACAAATAAACTTCATATAAGTGGGATGAATCTATGACACATTCCCAACAGTGTCACTGAACTTCATACCTTTTTTTTTGGCACCCTACTTGGTTAAAATATAATGCGCAAGTGGGCATGAGACACTGTTCCATCAAAAACACCAGAATGAAATTGTTTCTGAAACATGACAAACAGATGAGCATTATGAAGGGGTATCATAACTCAAGGAGACACTACATGATCAACAACAAGCCAGCTAACTCGGGACTCAAATTTTTCAGACGGGGAACCACTCTTTAAAAGTAACCAGATCAAAATAAAACACTATTTTCTTTGATAGCATGTAAGAAAAAAAAACTGAAAAAGAGCTTAGCAAAGAATAATTTTGAATCAAAGGTACAGAGTTCAATTAGGATAAAAAGGACAAAACCTGTCACTGGCAGTAATATTTTGTGCAAACAACGGTAAAATGTCTGCTCTGGGCTTTGTCATATCAATAAATAGAAGAATATGAAGATATTAGTGGGGTTCTTGGTAAGTAACGATGAAGGAGTAAAATGAGGCGGGCAATATACCTAATATGTTTCTGCTGGCCGGAGATGGGATGTCCACTGTGTAATGCTTCCACTGGCAGCTCGATGCGAGCGGTGCGGTTGATAGACATGAGAAAGGGGCAACCATCCTGCAGACGAACATACAAGAAAGAGAAAAAATTAGATTGACACACAAAGAAATAAATGAAACGCAGAAGCCTGTTTGATACCCCCTTTAGACTGATTATGTTCGAATAACATATGATTATACTACACCCAAAAGTGCGAAAAAAAAAGTATCGGGTCAGTTCCATCAGTGACAAAGAGATTTAGCCTGTTGTCTCAGAGGTGGGCATGCGCTTCCAACCAATGCTTCAAACATTAATCTTTTCAAAGAGACACTTTGAACGTTCGTCTCTTACCTATTAATGGCGCGGCGAAGAAGAGACGACCTGTTGCTTTGACTATTGCCAAACACCATGCTGCATCCTTGGCTTCCAAAGAAAGACTCGTCGGGTCTCGTCGACTCCCGAGTCGATTCCGCAGTTCACTCGCCAGGTACATTCCAACCAGACATCTGCTCCTATGGCCCTGCAACAACAAAACTGCAACTGAGTGAGGAAAACAGACGGATCGAGCTTAAAAATAAGTGCCGCGGAAGCATTCGATGCAACGGAGGGTTAGGAACGGACGAAAACGCATTTTTACGACAGAAAGCGTGACATTCCGAGGTAGATGCAAGGGTGCGTACAGAGTTGGAGTGCATAGAAATAAGGACTGTTTTAGGGCGAGAAGCAGTCGCTAAAACGCAATTTTCCTCTACGACTCACTTGAAGATTCACGAATCATAACAAACAGACGATCTTATTCGCACGATCGCAGGCTTGTCCACCGCTTTCAATAAACAAATTTCACTGTTCACAGCGAGTAACGACACCGTTAAAATCATTGCAACAAGATAACACCACACTTTGTGATAATGCCTGCGAAATATACTGCAATAAAGATGAAAACAATGTGTTGCTTTGCCTGCACATCTAGCAGTCGGAAACTGGCTCGCGGCAGTGCCTGGCGCGAGGCTACGGTCTTGCCGTGCCGCCCAGTATGAGAAATGGCGGGGAGCGCGTAGGAGGCGGCTGGCGTGGTCCGCGCCCCCCACCCTACCCCCACCCTTCCGAGGGAAGCACCTCCACTCTGGTGAAGTGAAGGCTCTCGGAAAGGGCTTTAGGGGTTGCGACGCGAGACACACGCGCCGAAACCACTAACGCTAACGGGTTGCTCCACGCGCTTAGGGGTTGCGCCAAGCGCCGCAAGCGCTAACGGCGGATCACCCAAGCACTCGCGACACCCCGGCGATCGGCCGCTCTGAGCATTTCGGCGTTGCGGCACTAGGGCATACCGGTCCTTTGAACTTGACCGAGTTTTTGCAGTTGCGGCATCGGTTTTGACCCGGCGGTGCTTTGCGTTTGTGGCAACAGCGTTAGCTAATGTGATAATTTGGTCTAGCGCATGGCGCCCGAACTCATCGTTCGATTTTCGTACGTTGGATTAATAGTTGAATAAAGGGGTGTTGCATGATAACCTAATTGTCAACCTTGTCAACGCTCGTACGAGCAAGTTCTCTATTAAGAACGACAATTTTTCTGCTTATAATTTTAACGCCTGAAGCTCTTACAAACAACTTCCGTCATCCAGAAAATCAACAACATATTTACAGCCACATGTAAACATTATTTATAAGAGTGCTGTGCAAATTTCAGTTTGTTCGCTTTTCTGTCCAGAAAAGCTAACAAATTGGTTCGAAAAGGTAATCTGTTGAATACAGAGACATTTCCCACAAAATAAGCGCGAGTCTGGGCGCATGTGTCATAGTCGGTTCAGCAGCCACAGGCTGGAAGATTGTAGCAGACTTCCCAATTTCAGCTCATTCTGGCGTCGAATTGCCACAGAACGACAACGTAGGTACTGATGCAGCCCAGCACCTGCGTAACAGAATCAGATCGTCAGGTACTCGTAGAGCAGTACAAGACATGCAGCAAGAGTCACTGGTAAAATTCAAAGAGGGGGTTAAAAACAGCGAAATTTGAATTTGAGGCCCTTCTACTTGTCTTTGAGCGATGTTCTGAAGGACTTTGAAGTCAGAGACTGTCTGAACGTCACTTGGTGACCACCGCTGCATATTTCATTGAAACCGGCGCTTCTGACCAATCAGGGTTCAAGTTTTGACAGTTAAGAGAACCGGCCAGGTGAAGGCCTCCTAGTTTCTACACTCTCAGACTGTTATTGACTTTTTGTCCTTAGTTTAAGAGTACTTTACACAGCATTAAAAAGTACTATTTCCTCAAAATTTATGTAGAATTTTGTTCGTTATATTGACTTAAAGTCAATTTGATAGTGATAAAGAGTCAATAGGGTATTTCAACGAATCCCTGGCCCGGAAGTTAAAGAACAGCAGTAAGAACCAAAACGGCTTCTGCGCATGCGCAGACGGTGCCTCGGAGTGGAGGGGGGACGTCTGCGCATGCGCAGAAGCGGTTTTGGTTCTCACTTTGGTTCTTCGACGTCCGGGCCAGGGATTCGTTAAAATACCCTATACGCAATCGAGTTAAGAAAAAGTCAATAATTGATGACACATAAGTCTTAGTGCACAATATTGTACATGTTTATAAAGGAAATACTACATATCATTGCTGCTTAAAAAACTAATTAAGCAAAGGACAAAATGTCAATAAGAGTCTGAGAGTGAAGATTTTCACTGTCACTTTCGTCCTGAACTCAGCGAGTTGAAGGATCTTCTCCAGCCCGCTCATCAGTGTGCTTACTCTCTAATTCCAGGAACAGGAACGTGACACTACATTGAAACGAATGTGACCGAGAGCGTAACTCCTTTGAGCTTTGTCACATTCGTGAGAACGCGGATAAGCTAATTAATGGCTAATTCACGCCCGAACGAATGTGAAACAACCCTAAAAGAAAAATGACCCTTTAATACATTCGTCGAGAGTAATACTTTTGAAATACGACGAAGTCAACCCTCCTCTCCTATTTCCTCATACGCCTGACCAAACAGTTACAATGGTCTCTCGCGCGCTGTTCGAGTTACGTAAGTGCCTAACACCCAGAGGAGACGGCGTGGTTTCCCGGCGTCCTGACCAGTTGGGATGGTTTTCATAGAATGGGTCAAATTTACGTGCGCGGCACACCGCTAACAACCTACCGCCTTCATAGTGTTAGTGTTCAGGTAGAATATTCCGTAAACATTGAAGCGTCCACGCTGCCACCTCACCGACCGCACGAAAAGCTCTATCTGAACAGAACGGAGACGAAATAAAAAGATTGATGAAAATGACCCAGGTCTAGATAAGAATAGGGTACTCCAAAGAATCTTAAAACGGATGAAGAACAAAAGTTGGCCATAGAAACAGCTTCGGCGCTTACGCAGACCATTTTCCGCACCACCCGGTGCGCATGCGCAGAGGTTCTCTCACCACCAGCCAAAGCTGTTTTTAGGGCTTGCTCTTCCTCATCTTCAGTTGAAACGTCCATCGCAGTATCCTATGAGCATACCAATACCTCTTGTTTGGTTCCAGGCGAGACCTCCGGTTTTTGGGCTAAGAATCCCAACAGACCGTTGCTGAGAAGAGCAAGCTAGCAAGAAACAACACGGTTATTCCAGAATGCATGTAGAACAACGTGTACACATCATTCTGGAAATGCCACGACGCAAGTGAACCAAGAAGCAGAAGGAGATGACTACACTGGGGACCTCATCTAGCCGGCGTATCGTGTTACGCTAGCTCGGACTCCATCGGATTCCATTGTGATGCATCAAGTCTCTTCCGAAAATGCTCTGATGAAGCAGATTTGCAGAAGGCTGAATTTTTGAGTTCTCGCTATCTAAGAACTCATGCATCACAATGGTCCAGATCCTCAACCTCGGCAAGAGTGGCCTGAGACTTCTGTCAAAGCTGATGGGGCACTCAGAAGCTGTCTACAATAGGGTACTTTCGTAGAATCCTGAACCGGAAGCAAGCAGACCAGCCGACGTCAATTTGGCCGGAAACTAACCTCTCTTCGGATCCAAAACTATAGCCGAGCTGTACAAATATTGCTCGCGAAACACATATTCACTGCAAACAAGTATCAAACAACTGTTTATGATCAAGTGTGGCCGATACGTTTGACGAACGTCTCTTTCCCATGTCAAGTTTGGATCTACTTCCGCCAACATGGCGTCTGTGTGCTTCCGGTTCAGGGATTTACGAAAGTATCCTATAGATTCTATACACTCTAAATGTCTTGCAATGAAATTTGACCTATGTTATTCGTATGTTACAGTGAATTCGGCGCAACCATAATACGAAGCAATATTCTTTCGTAATACGAATCTTTTTACCTTTTCTCTGTAAGATACAAAGAAAAACCACCTTCGTATTGCTTGCGCCATTTCCTTCGTAATATGGGAAATTTCTTCGTAAGACATTTAGAGTGTACGAGCTGCCCGAGGATACACTCCTCTTCACAAAAGCCTCTGAGGTACTTCACGCAATTGAATGAGGAATATCAAAATTCGAAGGGAAGACACTTAATGAATTTGAAATACAAGTAGGTGAAGAGGTAGAAAAGGAAGATCAAGAGAAAGATTGGTTGGACAGTGGAAAAGAGGAGGAACAGGAAATACACTGCAAACCTAACTGTCTACTAAGTACACACTTACAAACGCATGCTTGGCCAAGTACACACTTAAAAATGCATGCTTGCAGGTACACACTTACAAACGCATGCTTGACGCCATATAACTGCATGCGTCAAGCATGCGTTTGTAAATGTGTACTTGCAAGCATGCATTTGTAAGTGTGTACTTGGCCAAGCATGCATTTGTAAGTGTGTACTTAGTAGACAGTTAGGTTTGTAGTGTATAGGCAAGTCAGAAAAAAATAAAAGCGAAAAAGAGAAAAGGAAATCCACAGAACAACAATAATAAAAGACGGAAGAAGAGAAATGAAGAAGATAGTGACGAAGAGGCTGAAGTCGACTGGTCGGATTTGAATGAATTCTTCATAGAAGAAATGGAGAGCGTAGGGAGTTATGCAGGCAACTGGAAACCAAAACGGCCAAGACAGGACAAATGTGAACGCTACTTGAGGACGATAAAACTTGTTGGCGTGCCTTTGAGACATGTTAAAGATCGTGTGTCAAATAAAATGAAAACAATGATAAAAAATGGGCTAGTAAAGGTGAAATCTTTTAAACGATTACCATGTCGCTTGTAAGGCAAGAGAAAGGAGTTATCTTAGTCTAAAATTCTTAATATTGGTAAAATTCCTTATACAATATTCATCTTGCATATTATATCTGAAGATATTTAAAATTAAACAGACCTTTCTATCAATTACCAGGGCCAAGGTGATTTTGTAAGTACCGAACTTGTGCAGCCACAACATTAGTGAAGCCAGATCACTTGCTTCAATTACAAATGTAAAATTAAGTAAATATTTAAATATTTTTCGTTCAAGTGTTATACGAGACGTTAGTCTCACTCGTGTAAATTTAGTCAGAATGTTAGAAACATGTGTGAAATCCTGATCAAAATTCGCGCACCTCTGAACGTTGAAATCCTGAAAACTTACTCTAATATTGATGGTTTGAGTTCTACAGAATGTGAGGAGATGTTTTCAGCTTTCACAGGTGCGCGAATTTTGATCAGGTTTTCAGACAGGTTTCTGACATTCTGACAAGATTTACACGAGTGCTTAAGCGTACCAACTTGAATGCGACTTCGCAGGTTGAGAAATATGTGCAGTTTATTGTACACAAAAATTGTACAAAAAGCTTGTGTGCACCTAGAAACGGTGATGTGTTGTTCAAAATTGTACATAACATTTGGTGTGTTTTTCAAGTGTTCTTTGGCTGGATCCACTTGATGGTAGATAGAAGGCTGAATTTTAGCGTGTGGTGAGCCAAGGACGTACCTAATAACCTTGCAAAATCTCGGCCAAATCGGCCGAACAGTTCCGGAGTAGTGTACCCAAAGACAGACAGAAAAAAACTTTCAGCCCCACTGGAGTAAAGGGGTTCGCTATCACTCACTCTACAAACTCAAGTGTGTACATAGTACACTTCAACCTGAAGAGTACATGCATGTACACTTCAACCTGGAGTGTACATGCATGTACACTTCAACCTGGAGTGTACATGCATGTACACTTCAACCTGGAGTGTACTTGGCATGTACACTCCAGGTTGGCGTGTACTTGCCAAGTACATGCCAGGTGGCTCATACCTGCAGGAGCCAGCAACAGTGTACCTGAAGGTATGCGCCACCTGGCGTGTACTTGCCAAGTACACGCCAACCTGGAGTGTACAGGCCAAGTACACTCCACGTTGAAGTGTACATGCATGTACACTCCAGGTTGAAGTGTACTTGCATGTACACTTCAGGTTGAAGTGTACTATGTACACACTTGAGTTTGTAGAGCAGGCAATAATGATAAAAGGACTCCAAGCGCTTTTAAAATTCCTGTTGATTATGAGATTGATGATGAAAGCATACAACCTAGGCATGCTTGTGTCGAATTTTGTTCTTTCTGCGTTCTAGCATGGAAAACAACACAATACTGCTGGCACTCGCGGCGGCCCAAGCTACCGAGGCATTTCTGGCTGCCCTCCGCACCGGCCAAGTCATTCAACCAGGCTGACAGCGAGCACATCGAGGCGGTCAACAACAGCGTGGTCGACACCACAGCCGCGGCCACTAAGGCCAACAGCAAGGCAGAGTGCAGCGGCGTCAACAGCCGGCAGGAGGAGCCGGACGGGTTAGGCTAAGCAGTGGCGGACAGCAGGACAGGGGACGTCACCTGGAGCATCCACTTGGGCGTCTCAAAGCGGTGCTGATACCCCCTCGGACTCCGAAACTTGCGCAGTAAGTCATGCTTTGTTAAAGCATACCCTCATAAAAATGTATTATTATTGAAATGAAACAGGGATCAGTAAGCATTTGAACCCATTCATTGTGGAAGGATCTGTCCCTTAACGTTTTGCATTCTTTCCTTTTTCCTCCTTAATAATTTTGTTTGCTAATTCTTGTTTTTTATTTTATTTATTTTTGTTTCTAGGCTTCTGTGGCATGAGAATATCGATCTCATATGAGACTCCATGTTGGGCCAGTTTTACCAGGCCACCACTCCAGGCTTCATTCCGTTCAGCCCTAAATGTAGTCCATAATTGCTACCATTGATTTATAGTTTTAAGCTGCACATCTTTTTTCCACAAGTCGTAAATAAACATTTTTTTTCCAATTTAAATCAAAGAAGTTGGGCTGCATCGTACACGGACAAACCTCGGCCCAACTCTACAAACTGTGGAATGCCAAGCAGCCCAGCACTCAGTTGGGCAAGAAGTGCATAGCAACACTTGGCACCAAGGATATACTGAGGGTATAAGCACAGGGCAGTCACTTTATTAACTGTAAAGCCACAGTTTTTCTGCTTACAGAGAGTTCCTCTCGACATGACTTTGCAGAACATCTCTAAGATATTAAGCGTGTTCAGCTCTCGTTGTGATCAAGTGATGATGCTCACACTGCCACCTATCCCGAAACTGCTTCACAAGAATGAAACCATTGGTTGCATCAACCAGTTCATGCAAGGTGTTGCTGCAGGAGCTGGTAAGAATGTAAGTGTTTTGAAGTGTAATAATGTAAGTACATCTAATTGTCCTTTTAAATTATTACTTTAGGCCCTCATTCAATTCAATTGTTTATTTGCAAGTGCTGTATCAGCAAGTGCATCTTTCAAAACAATACACTATAGAGACATTAACATGAAAACACGTATAAAAAATGTGACTGGAAACACAGCTGGGGTATACCAAGCTCGAAAGAAAGACCAACAGGAAACCGGAAATAGTGGTGAAGATCAAACGGACGGTACAAGGGTTGAGAAAGGGTTGGTCAATGAAGCTGCTCTACAAACTTGAGTGTGTACTCAGTTTGCGTCTAAAGATGCATACTTGCAAGTACACATCTACAGATGCATAATGAGCGGGGTACACATCTGCAGATGCATACTTAGATGAGTTGGGAAAGCATCTGTAGGTGTGCACTCAGCCAAGTATGCATCTGTAGACGCTTACTGTTTGTAGTGTGTTGGAGTGGTAGTTGATATTATTTATGAAAAAAAGTTCTTTCCGGTCTCGTTTCCGGTTGTTCGCCATGTTGCCAATGTTGTATCCGTTTTGTAACTTCAATTCGTCTCAGTACACCGTTCCATCAACATGTCGTGATCCTTTCTTTTGCTCCTTATCCAAGTCCATCCTCCATAAACCGCCACCAAGCTCTGAGTTTTACAACACAACCCTCTGTCGACAGGTATAGGGCCTGTAAAGTTAGCGCCGCGCGTGAGAGTGTGCGTGCGGACGCGCGGACGCGCGTGGACGAGAGCGTCGATAGTAGCGCTCACGGACAACGCCGCCTGTCCGGAGGGTCGCTGGAGTCCTCCCGGGACTATTCGGGACCTGTTCGGGACCACCCGAATGGTCCCGAACGGACTCCGGGCAGCCGGCGTTGTCCGTGGGCGCTACGATCGACGCTCTCGTCCACGCGCGTCCGCACGCACGCTCTCACGCGCGGCGCTAACTTTACTACAGGCCCATAGAAGCAGCCGTAATAGAAGATTGATGCGCCTTTCTCTCTGAAAACAGAACTTTACTAGCCAGGGGAAGGCCTTCGGCCTCGATGCTGAGCTGGATTCGGCTGGAGATGGAAATGCATTTTCATCAGTAGTAAATTTGGATGTGTTTATTTTGAAAATGAGCCTCTTTTCTTTTTGGGGGGTGATAGCCAGGAAGTATGCTTTTGCGCAAAGGATTGTGATTCGGCAATGGTTGGTTTCTCCTTGAATCGACGGAAGGCTATTTAATAATCTAAAACTAAATGTTCCAACCAATCCTAACCTAACCTAACGGGCTCGTGACAGATCTTACTCTACTCGAGACAGATCTTACCCTACTCTCGACAGATCATATTCTCAAACTAAATGGTCCAACCAATCCTAACCTAACCTAACGGGCTCGTGACAGATCTTTCTCTACTCGTGACAGATCTTTCCCTACTCTCGACCGATCTTATTCTCAAACTAAATGGTCCAACCAATCCTAACCTAACCTAACGGGCTCGTGACAGATCTTCCTCTACTCGCGAAAGATTATACCCTTCTCGCGACAGATCTTATTCTCAAACTAAATGGCCAATGAAGCTTGGCGTACGACTATGGAGCTTGGACTATAGAATATGGACTATGGAGCTTAGACTATGGAGCTTGGACTATGCAGCTTGGACTATGGAGCTTGGACTATAGAGCTTGGACTATGGAGCTTCGACTATGTATACGCATATGAATATAGTTAAAATAAACAGAGGAAGATACCTCTTGTAAACTAAAGGTATCAGGGGGGGGGGGTCGGACAAATGAGCTATTCAAAATCCCAAACAGGGTGCTTCGCTTCGCTCAGCAATCAATTTCATTTAACTACAAAGTTTGCTCCACGTGGAAACATCAAGAGTGCTGAGGTAATAGTGTCCCTGCGATTCCAGAAAACTTGGGTGTATGTGCACATGGTTCACTGCTGATTCTAAAGGATTCAGACGCAATGGATGTTCAAGGGTACTATGATTTACCATGAAATTATGTGAGCACCCTGCCCCGTCCATCAGCAAGACCAAATGGAACATTGCAATTAAGGGGGGACATCACTCCAAAATGATCAAAAATTGCAACTTTTTTTTATTAGTTTATATTATAAACCATTCCTTTCTGCGTCGAATGGTGAAAACCGCATTCCGGAATTCAAAAAATTGCAGTTTTAGTAGGTTGTGGGCCGCAAACATGCATAGGGGAAAAGCCCAGTTTCCCCAACTTTGATCGCGTTTTTCTCGGAACATGATATTGCAAACGGTTGCAGGCCTCTAGGGCGCAGTTTTTGAGCTACAGCGGGGAGATTTAGCATGGAAGCTCCTACGACATGCCGCTATGGTGGGTAGCAAAATAATTTGCATTGGTCAATTTTTATTATTTTTTCAACGTTTAAAATTAAACAATTTTGACCAAAAAAATTAATCAGTATTTTTTGGTATGTAACAAACACAACTTAAAATGATTTTTGAAATGTGATTGAGGTACCCACCATAGCCAGACATCTCAGGAAGGCTGTCACCAAATTTCAATGTTCTAGGTCAAACCGTTTGGCGTCCAGCGCTGCAACAGTGCGAAATGGTCTAACCTAACACTCAAAAATGTGTTTTCAACGAAAGCGCTGTACTGCCCTGGCGGATTGACTTAGTGTTGTTTTATACATTATCTGTTAAAATATGAACAATTTTTCTCTTTCCGTTTGGTTTTTATGGCGTTATTACAAAAGCACTGTTTTTGGAGTGATGTCCCCCCTTAAAGTGTCTATTGAGTATTATATATAAATTAGGTAAAGGTCGACTTCGCCGTTAAATTGCTTAATTATTTACATTGATTGTACTGTATAGTGGCTAATCATCTATGCAGCTTTTTTTCTTTTTTGTGAAACTTTCTGTGATTTTATATTTACATTCTGTAATTTTCATGTTTGTTTCATAAACCATTCTGAAATTGTACTTTCTCAATTTATAGGAATAAGTTTGATGTAAGATTTTTGTTTATATCTTTTTCCTAATTTTACTCTTGGTAATTGAAAGAGCTGATCAGGTCAAATACCTTGGCTTAATCATTGATAGTAAACCACCTCGGAGCAAAAATAAGATCGAAAACTGCGCCCCTAATGCCTAATAGGTCAACTATTAAGACTCAAATACCATATACCTGATTATCTCAAAAAAGGGTTGTATTATCCAATAATACACTCAAACATTATGTATCTGGTTCAAATTTGGTCTACCTGTACCTGTAAATCGAGTAACCTTGATCTTATCTATGTGCTTCAAAATAGGGCCCTGAAAGCTACTTGACCTAGATTCTCGTCATCCCACAAGGGAGTTTCATACCACTAGTATACCACCACTTGATCACCATATTGCTGTTGCTAACTCAATGCTGATTTATGCACTCAAAAGTAATTTGATTTTGAACTTTATTGTGGCATTGAAGTGCACAACCACAACACCAGACACAAAAATCAAATCAAACAAGTATTTCCTGCCTCTACTAAATATGGTCTTCAGAGTGTGCTTTACAAGAGTCGCCAGCAACAGACATGACGGAACTTACAAAATCGACCCTTTTGGCCCGCCTCCCGCGTCACATGATAGCTTTGAAAGTCCATATACAAAGGGAGCAAGCTACTCTAGTGCCAAACAAGATTCTTAAGTGCATAAATGAACTGCACTTTTTTGCGGAGAAAATCCATAATTCAAGAAAACTGAGATCTCCGTATAATAAATGGACCGTCTCCGGTAATTTCCCATATTTTTACGGAGTTTTCTGACAGTGTAAGGTCATACGGCATATCTTCCATATAACCTTACTAACCCCCTTACCTCGTTTTCGGCCATCTGCGCCGTGCAGCACAAGCCGACGAACGTGGCGCAGGCGAGGACGCTGTACAGCAGCGGGATGTAACTTTGCCACGCCGGGGAGTCCAGCATTAGGTAGATTATCCCATGCGACGTGGACAAGGAGGCGACGTACAAAATGTGGCAGGTCTGGAGACATTGCGGGGTATGAGCATGGCCACAATCGTCAAACGCAAGCCTCTTACAAACATCTTCAAAATTTGAAGTCGTCATAATGTCCCGGAGTTCTCAATGTGTGGAACTAAATCGGGGATCTATTTTATCTAACAAAGCTGACAATAACGGAACAGTAGACAATACTCGCTGAAGGTTAAAGGTGTGTGCTTCCTTTTTAATAGAAACCTTGAGTTACGGGAAATAACTTTACCTCAGGAGTAACTTTGAATAACCCAGGGAAGTGCGTTGGCATTCCATATGGGAGTAAACCTCAAAGCTCGCTTAAAACTGGAGTGCTTTCTAGCACGCTCTACTCCAGGGTGGTTTCCATCGAAACGTTCATCTTTTGTCCCTTTCTCTTTTTGGCTCCGTTCGGCCACGAAAGTGGATTTCTGACTATGGTTTAGTGCTCCTGATACGTTAGTGACTGCCTCAAGCACCGACTAGATTGAGTATGGGCTTTGACCGAAAACGGATTAATATAACATCACCGCAACTGTCCCTTTGCGAATTGGGCAAAGGGACAGTCAGGTTCAGAATTTGAGATCTCACTTATTTACCAAGTGCTCACCATCACGCACCATTTTCCTCCATCATGTATCTCAGTTCCACCACTACCCCACAGCTCCACTTCCTTCCCACTACCCTCAACCTGCCCAATATCCTCAACACCCTCAAGCAACCGCTTCCTCCTACTTTCCGTACCAAAATCCTTACAACCCACTTCCTGCAGCTGCTACCCCTCCCCCAGTCTGTCTCCCTCCCTCAAACACAGAACAGTGCTAACGTTGCTCCTGCAGTTCCGAACATTACTGCAGCGGCATCACCCTTACTTCCAAACAAACCCAAACCGTCTGCACCTGCCGCTGCTGCTCTTGTCGCACCACTGTTGACGTCAACCAAACCGAAGGAAAATGCCGCCCCTGTGCCAGTGACCCAACCATCTGGATTCTCACCTGAGCCCAATGAGACCCAAGTGCTAGCTCCAGCAATGATGTAGCTGCTCCAGTAGGGCCATCTTCTGAGAAAAGTGGAAAGAAGAACAAAGAAAACGAAGGAAAACAACGAAGAAAAGGGCCAGAACAATTTCGTGTAGTGCCTCAAGTTCTACTAGCAGTGGGAGAAGTAGCAGCAGCAACAGCAGCAGCAGCGAATCATCTGCAGTAAGTTCTCAATTTCTTTTCTAAGAGCATCAAGTTAAATTTTTTATTTGACAAACACTTATTTTCTGTTCTGTTTAAGAAACTGTTCCACCCAAAAAAGAAAAGCGGGAAACGAAGAATGGCAGGAGTCTGGTCAAGTCTGTTTCTAAGAGCGGTCGTGAGACCAGCAGATAAAAATATCAAGATGAAATAGTTTCGTTCCCAGCCAGCGCGCGGGAAACTTGTAGCGGCTATCTCAATGGCTGCGGTCGCCATTCTAGTTTTTCGGTCCGAAGCGAGAGGACGTGTCCGAGTGTTCCGAAGGTTAAGAAGTCTGCGGAGAGGGTGGCTAGCGACACGGATTCGAGCGCGGAGGGTGATCCGAGCCAGCTGTACTCGGGCGGCCTGAACGACGTGGATGACCAGCTCATCCCTGTACGCAGTCGCCGCGGCCGCCAGTAGCTGGCCCAGTCGGCCTAGTCGGCCCCTCTTCCTCCGAAAGCTCCGGTTTGGACTCGGACGGGGAAATCGTCGATGAGACCACCATTGGTGCCATTCTGCAGAGGGCAAGAGCGGAGACCCTAGCCAAGGAGAAGGCGGAGACGGCCAAGGTGAGAGGAGGCGGGCACGGATCGAGAGGGAGCAGCAAAGGGGAAAGCGGCAAAGGGAGGGGCAGAGCGCCATGCAGACTCCCGAGTTCATGAAAAAGAAAATCAAGGAGGGGCCATCGACACATTCCCCGCCGCGCCGGCCGAGGACACTATGGAAGGATGTGCGAAAATCGCCGTCGGGATCCGGCAAGAAGGCGAAGAAGTTGGAAGCAGCAGATTATACAGCCGTGTCAGAGGCCGAACTGAGGAGCATGTCTGAGCTGGCGGCTCTCAAGTCCAGAAAGAGTTCAGACGGCAACTCCAAGATTACAGTGTGTTAACGTTCTTTGTTTTTTGACTGTTCAAATGCAAGCACTTAATGATGACGTCGGCTTGGAGGTTGCCCTGCGACATGCCGGATTTCTCGTTGAATCTAGTGACTCCCTGAGTGATTCCATAGTGGAAAATGATGACGTTGATTTTGATCTAAAGCTCCATCTTACAATCAAGGCGGCTCCGGGGCATTCCAGCAGCAGATCGACACCCTCCGCCAGCAAGTCCACTCCCGAAGCGGCCATCCACCAGCAAGGCGTCTCCGGGGCCATCCACCAGCAAGGCGTCTACGGGGCCATCCACCAGCAAGGCGTCTCCGGGGCCATCCACCAGCAAGGCGTCTACGCGGCCATCCACCAGCAAGGCGTCTCCGGGGCCATCCACCAGCAAGGCGTCTCCGGGGCCATCCACCAGCAAGGCGTCTACGGGGCCATCCACCAGCAAGGCGTCTCCGGGGCCATCCACCAGCAAGGCGTCTACGCGGCCATCCACCAGCAAGGCGTCTACGGGGCCATCCACCAGCAAGGCGTCTACGGGGCCATCCACCAGCAAGGCGTCTACGGGGCCATCCACCAGCAAGGCGTCTCCGGGGCCATCCACCAGCAAGGCGTCTACGCGGCCATCCACCAGCAAGGCGTCTCCGGGGCCATCCACCAGCAAGGCGTCTCCGGGGCCATCCACCAGCAAGGCGTCTACGCGGCCATCCACCAGCAAGGCGTCTCCGGGGCCATCCACCAGCAAGGCGTCTCCGGGGCCATCCACCAGCAAGGCGTCTCCGGGGCCATCCACCAGCAAGGCGTCTCCGGGGCCATCCACCAGCAAGGCGTCTCCGGGGCCATCCACCAGCAAGGCGTCTCCGGGGCCATCCACCAGCAAGGCGTCTACGGGGCCATCCACCAGCAAGGCGTCTACGGGGCCATCCACCAGCAAGGCGTCTACGGGGCCATCCACCAGCAAGGCGTCTACGGGGCCATCCACCAGCAAGGCGTCTCCGGGGCCATCCACCAGCAAGGCGTCTACGGGGCCATCCACCAGTGGCGCTAAGGGGTCTGCAACGAAAAGGTCGTCCAGCCAATCGGCCAGGGAAGGAGCCAAGGATGATAATAACAGGAAAAGTAGCGATATACATCGGCAACTTTGGCCCGTCCCGTACATTAGGTAACGTACGAATTTCGCCTGTGTTTGACCCTGACGGGAATTAAACCTGAGTCTGGGGTTAAAAGAAATGTCGTTCTTGTCATCAGCACCCTCAAAAACATCAGAAACAATGCAAAAACTCGAATAAACAGAATGTTCCAAAAATACCCCGCTGGGATTTGAACCCGGGTCCTAACTTCTCCGATTCACTCGAAACTGGCACCATTGGTTTTCTCTCGTCGCCCCGATTCCAAAAATACCCCTACATGCCCTCAAGCTGCATCCGTTGCCGAGATCCTCCTCGACCCCATGTAGACCATGATGCACCTGCAGCAGCGCCCCCGGGGCTCGGATCGGATTTAATGCCACCGGGCGGTTCTTAAGGTCACCCAAGGAGGCTGCATACCAAATTTGGTCAAGATCGGACCACGGGAAGTCCTCGGACGGACGGACGGACGAACGAACGGACGCACAGCAGGGATCATACTATATGCCCGTCCCTCCGTCATTTTTTTTTACAAAAAATAAACGGGACGGGCCAAAAAGAGCTCCAAGGCCGCCTCATCAAAGAAGGCCTCCTCCTCTCCGAAGGAAAAGGACAAGGACACCATCCGCCAAGGCGCCGCGCTTTAAGATTGAGGACGTGCTCACGAAAAGGCAGCTACAGTGAGGCCAGGATAGGAAAACCGGGTATCGGCGAGAGCTCGCATTTCGCTGCCCGTACTGCACCAACGTCGTGAAGCAGCGAGACGGAATGACGGCGCACTTGGCTTGCCACCGAGACCGATTGGAGCATGAGCCAAGAGGGATGAAGGGGGTCCGGGCACGTGTCTTGACCAGCAGCACCTCTGGCCCCCGCGTCCTGGACGAGGTGATCTACGCCTCCGTCCTCGGAAGGCTGAGGGGACTAATGAGCGGCAGAGCATTCGCGAAGACGGGCACCGCATTCAAACAACTCCTCACCCACGTAACTTCGAGCGTTGGTCGTGCGGACGTGGTCAATCTGGCACCCCACGCCGACTTCGTCTCAGCGCTCAACTCTGCCATGGCAGACGGTGGCTTGTCGGTGCGGGACCCTCGGGATGACTCGGATAAAGACAGCGAAGGTGACGGCGCAGGACAGCAGGAGGAGCCTAAAGAGGATGAGGTTTCTGACGAGGAGTCTGATGATGGAGATACGTTGAAGATAGTGAGGAAAATAGCCCTGCAGAAGAAGCTGACGACTGAATTTTTTTTTATTTTATAACTAATTGTGTTAAGAAAGTGTTAAGGCCAATAAAGTGCCGAAATTTAAACAAGAAAAAATCCATGCGCTCGTAACCAGCAAAAAAGACTTGCAAAACGGCAGAAAAAGGGAAGATTTATATGAGTGAGAGGAGGTAGTGCTTGCACGGCATGTATTGGTATCTTTGGCCGCTTCTACGAGTTAGCGAGATCAGGATCTTGGGACATCCAGCCGGCAACGCCTCCACTCCCGCCCCGCCCGCAGGCCACGAGGAGCCGCCATTGTCTCGTCAGAGCCGCAGCAGTCAAAACAGTGACGACTGCACGCGATTCTCCCGTCATCGCCATGGACCTCTTAGAGCAAGACTGAGGAAGACTTAGGCCGGTCTGTGGTAATTGTCTTTGTCGGAGAGGAGGACAACGAATAACCACAGGCCTTCGTATAACAAAGTATTTTAGTTTGTTATATGTATGCTCATAATACTTCGTAAGGTTTTAAGAGTGAAGGTAGGTGTATACGCCAGGCGTGGATTGTCGAAACTGGCGCAGCATCGCGAAGCCTGTTACAAGACACGGTCTGGCGTACACCGACCTTGTTCCACTATTGTTACATAATAGCCTCCTTTTCACCAGATACACCATCAGGTCACGGCTGGGGACATTGTTGTAGCAGAGGGATTGAGATAGAAAGCTGAAATTTGGTGTGCCAAGGATATACCTACCTAGTGACCCTGCTAAATCTCAGCCGAATCGCCCGAGCCGTTCAGGAGAAGTAGTGCACACCCACACGCACACACTCAGACAGAAAAAGTTTTTTAACCCCACTGGAGTAACGGGCTTTGCTATCGCTTAGCAAATTACAGGTAATAAACAAATACTTGAAAATGGTTGCCCATCACGGGAAGAGGCTGTTAAAAAATGTTCTACCTCTGTCAGCTTTTTTTAATGGACGGCATTTTGAAGGATCCCATTTTGCTGTCAGGAGGCACTCAAGGGATGTGAGTGCTTAAAAAGTTCGACCCTTTTCAGAGAGTGAAAATGAAAGCTGTGGTTGATCACTGCACTGAGACCATGGTCTTATATTATTTAAATGCTAATTTTTCTTTAAGTGTACAACCAGGTGACTATATTTGGCTTAGACATCATTTTTGTTTCCCTACAATTTAAATGTGCTAATGGCAGTTTTCATTGGGCGCTCATTGAAATTAATGTAAAAGAAAAGGCCCTGAGATATTATGACAGCCTCATGAGCCTCAAGACAGCCTCCTAGTATTTGTTCCTCATCCAAGTTTGGACATGATGAATTTTTGATTGCAGAATATTCTTGGGTACTTGGCTTTGGAGGCTTAATCAAAGGACTTGCAATTCAATGAAGGTGAATGGAAAAAGCATTGTGTTAAGGTGAGGTATCAAGAGTTTCCTTAAAGTTGCGATTACTATAAACACTCTTAAAACCTTACGAAGTATTTTGAGCATACATATTACAAACTAAAATACTTTGTTATACGAACAAATAGTTTGTAAATTACAAAGTATTTTCTTTGTAAGCTTACGTATGCTCAAAATACTTTGTTATACAAACTACTTTTCTTTGTAAGGCCCAAAATAGTTTGTAAGGTTTTCTCAGTGAAGCTTATGATTTCTTCTGACAACTTTTCATTTTTGGTATTCCACAGCAGAACAATGGTGACGACAGCGGCGTGTTTGTCTGCAAGTTCTCCCTAGAAATAGTGTCTGGAGGAAAATTTAATTTTTCCTCTAGCGACATTTTCAGTATCAGGGAGACCATCCGCCAAGATATTTAAGACCAGTCGATCACCACTGTACCTCTGGTACCAGTACCACTCGACCTAAAACCATTGATTCTACCAATGATGCCGCCGATGTCCCCCACCCCACCCCAAGCGTACAAGCGTACACTGCAAACCTAACTGTCTACTAAGTACACACTTACAACTGCATGCTTGCAAGTACGCACTTACAAACGCATGCTTGCCCGAGTACACACTTACAAATGCATGCTTGCAAGTACACACTTACAAACGCATGCTTGACGCATGGAGTTTTACGGCGTCAAGCATGCGTTTGTAAGTGTGTACTTCCAAGCATGCATTTGTAAGTGTGTACTTGGCCAAGCATGCGTTTGTAAGTGTGTACTTGCAAGCACGCATTTGTAAGTGTGTACTTAGTAGACAGTTAGGTTTGTAGTGTACAACTACGCTTCAAGACTGTACGCCCTTCTTGAAGCATACAACTACGCTTGAAGGCAATTCCCCCATGCATTTAGGCCTAGATAGGAAGGAGCGCATGAACTCTTGTACGCTTGAAGAAGGGCGTACTGGCTGTGAGCTTCACGAAGGGCGTAATAGTACGCCTTAGTTTTAACAGTGCAGTAATCTCATCGTTAAAATTTTGTTTTCCGGCCACAATGAATTTCTTAAATTGAAGTCATTGGGATATGGGTTCGATGAATTACCTGGGGTGATGGAGTGGTCAAGAAAAACATTTCCCTGAACCTATGACTTAATTGTCAGTGGTATCAATGACTCAAGAAGGGATAATCAAGTACTCAGTGCGTTACACATTCCCCAAGTAGAAAAGAGGGGCTTTTTGTTTGCACTGTGGCAAAAAGGTACGGAAAATTCTGTAAACCGCTTATGCATATGCTGTTTACCATGGTAATTTTCCGTAGCCCCCACTGTGCGAAAAAACCACAGTGAATCCCGTTAATTTTTTTGCCGGGATTTACTGTAGTTCAGAACACAGGATTTACCGTGCCTGGCTACAGTATCTACTGTACCTGGTACAGGATATTCCGTACTCCACTCCTGTGGTACAGTAAATCCCGTACAAAGTACAGTACATCCTGTTAAAAAAGTACAGTAAATCCTGTACTCTGAACTACAGTGACAGCTGTACTAATCACTACAGGATTTACTGTGATTTTTCCCACAGTGCCCTTGTCATTATTCTCCGTAGGCTCTTACAGTATTCTCCGAAGGACCTTACAGTGTTCTCAGTAGGACTTTACAGTCTTCCAGGTCCTACGGAGAATACTGTAAGAGCCTATGGAGAATACAAGGCCCCGCGGAGAGTACACTACAAACCAAAGTGTCTACTAAGTACACACTTCCAAATGCATACTTGCAAGTACACACTTACAAACGCATGCTTGACGCCGTAAAACTCCGTGCGTCACATGACATTCTTTTTTTCCGTGCAGTGTCCTCCGCAGGCAAGACGCAGTTGTGCACTAGTTTACTTCTCTTCTAAGCAGCGGAAGCTTCCATGAACGGTCAATTCTTAAACTCTGAAGACATCACTGTTAAATGCATGAACATCCTGCGTACCTTTACTAGATGAACGAGTGCGAACATGGCATTCAGCCCGATGGTCATGTCGTGCAAGAACTGCTGTCGTACTCGGAAGGACCTCCACATCTCGACTGCGACGCAACAGGCCCCGGTGGAGAAATGGAACAGCGATGGTGCAAATCAACCGCGGCCACACGCATGATTTTGTAGAGCGCACAGTTTTTAGAAATATAGTATAGTCATAGAGCCATCTCTTTTTCGTGCTTTCATTTCAAGCGAAAGGTGCTCAAGCGTAGTTCGGTGCTTTAATGAAGTGTTCAACTACGCTCGTCTTGAACACCAAAATTTTGACTTTCACAAAAGTTATAACTTTTTCCAATAAATTTGAAGGTCAGTGGGGTTTTCCATTAAAGAGCTGGTTCTTTAATATTGATTTTGAAAACAAAAAGTTTGACTCTAGGTCTAGAACCCAGGATCTGCTATCTCTCTGCTCAATCACTAAACTATGTCAAAAATTCACTGCGCGTTAGACTATGCGGCATCATTTGTCTTGGTTCCTGCTGGTGACCTGACACCTGGCACACTTGGACAAGGATAGTTTAAGTAGCTGGTTCCTAGGTTTTAAGTGGTTAAAAAAATGCAAATTTAGACATTTCAATCATTGTTTTCGGCCACTTCCGCATGCCCGATTGAAGAAAGTCATCTTCACCTCAAGATGGAGGCGAAACATTAGAAAAATTATGAAGTCGAAACAAGCAACGGTCTGGCTTATATCGTGCGCGCGAGACCCAAAATATTGCAATAGAGTAAAGTGGCTTCAAAGTTCGAACGGTCTAACCCATCCTGTGGAAAATAAATTACAAAATGTCATCCTCTAGCCTAATGGTTTTGAATTTCAAAACCAGCCAGCCGCCTAATTCAAGGGTTCGACACAAATAATTCAAAGACGAAAATCTGAGTTTTTGACGGAAAATGACGAGTCTCCCCCCTCAAGTGATCAAAACGATTAATAAACAATTGGGACACGGTAGTGGGAGGGTGGGACTTAGAAGTTTCGCCCAGCGATAGTGAGATTACTTTGTCTCACCTCAAAAGGTTAACTCAAAATGGTATTGAGAATTCTGTTTTGGGCGCATAAACGTAAGTATTGACTGAGAAAACTAGCAGACCTAACCTAACAGACCAGACATTAATGCACTTCAAATCGAAAGGATAAGTGGACACTTGTAGGCGTAGACCAGTTTGTCCTGCGCTTCCAAGTGTCGACCCGTTGTGTCCGACGCTTTGAAGTGTCGACCACACTCACTGTGTCGGACACGTCCAAGTGTCGACCACACTCACTGTGTCCGACACGTCCAAGTGTCGACCACAGCATGTCCGACGGCTGGAAGTGTGGGGCCACAATAGGACAAACTGATTGTAGTTAACCGTAGGACAACAGTGCCCTACAAGCTTGTCTCCGTGGTCCTACACTTGCAGACGTCATCAAGATCTAATGAAAACTGATGGAAAGGAGGTAACGCTTAAAAGTCTTACCCGTATCATTATGCGGCTGTTTGATCCTACCGGCATAGTCTTGGTTGCTGAATGCAGAATCCATTTTCTGCAAAACGCAGGTGATAAGTATTTAACTCTAAGGTCGAAACCCTTGGGTCAGGGCGGGGAAGAACCGAACGCATCGAAGGTTGGGAAAAATCGGACAGTTTTAGACTGGATTTCCTGATTTTTAGAATTACGAATACCGTTACGCGTTACACTGAAAATGAATTGGTCACCACCATCACCCTTTAAATGGGTAATGCAACTTCGTTGCCCAAATTTTAGTGACGAAAAATTCATCACCCGAAATTTGGTAACAGGCATTTGGTCGCCCATTTTTGGATAACGCCGTCGGCGACGCTGTGAGGTTCCCGATGGCGTCCTTCGGGGGCCACCACGATGACCGGAGGCCTCAACGCCACATTGGGTCATCGCGGTGGCCCCGGAAAGAGCGTCATCGGGGACCTTTACGGCGTCGCCGACGACGTTACCCAAATTTGGGCGACGATTTTATGACTGCCCAAAATTTGGTCACCGCTGGCTCGTCACCCAAATTTGGGCAACGGTGCGTACGTTACCCAATAAAAGGGCGATGGCGGTGACTCTTTTATTCTCAGTGTTAATGAAGGTTTGCGCTAACTAGGAGAAAGTATTTTCGAGTGTCCTAATTCGTCAGTTCAGTCTAAAATTGGGGTGTACGGTTTTTCCCCGCCCTGATCCCAAGTTTTAAAACATCTGATCTTGAAAGCGGAAGAAGGGCATAACTTTGACTTATTACTGAATTTTGTTTTATCAGTACTTTGCCTCAATGGTTTTGCACCAAATCGCCAAATTACACAAAATTATTTGACTCAATTCCTAGTAGTTAAGAAGAAAATGGACGTGGAAGAAGAACGTTACTCGGCTTGAACTCATTCACGGCCCCAATTTCATCGGAAACTGGAGATAACTCAACCGAAGTCCACATGGCTTCATTGGAGCAAAAATGGCAAAAGGCCAAAACTCAGTTTGTACTTATATGTGCCTCTGATGTAAAAAAGGCAAAACTCAACCTTTTCTCCTTCTAAGTAGGAAAAAAGGTAACTCAAAACCCTGCATCATAGCGATGTAGGCTCGACGCAGATCTCCAATTTCAACTCCTCTTCAATTGTCTCCAAAATTCACCTCGTTTGCTAATATTTAAATCACCGAAACCGTGTACAGAGTGAACAAACACTTTTGAAAATTGTCGTCAGGCTTTCGGGCCAAATTAGGACTGTAGTACCACCCATGCATGACACACTTCTGTGTTAAATAAATTCACCGGTGTGGTGGAACTCAAATTTCGCCCACATTCACAAAATCAGTTTGATTACCAAGGACACTAGAGGGCGGGGAAGTCGCGTCTGCTTGATGAGCGCCTCACACTCCTTGCGTAAGTCCGCAATGAGCACCGACAGCAGCATTGCAGGGCCCACGAACAAGACCTCCATCATCTGTGGAGTGCAACAAAGAGTCAAGGAACCGTTCCTTCGTCAAAAGCTCGTGCTTGTTAATGCTCGGGTCATTCCATCCCACTTTTACATCCCGTTACATCGACCCCCTCCGATTTGCTCCAAATTTTGGTCAAATGTTACCTACCTATAGTGAAGTCGTCCACCAAAAAATTAGACCTCTACGATGCATGGTTTGGCTAAAAACGCATTTTTTCATTTTGACCTTTTTTGCTGAAATTAGTGTAGGTTTTTACGAAAACGGCTATAACTTCCTTTCTAATCGCAAGACTCCGTTCAAACTTGGTACTCCCAGTCAAAATTCAACAAGGAATCCAAATCTGCCGTCGGAATTAACCTAGGGTCACCCAAAGTTGGTCATATGGCGGAAATACGAAAAAAATTGACATTTGTGCCAATTTCCAGCTGCAACACTTACAGGGCTCCTAGACAGCTCAAAATCTTCAGAAAAGTGCCATCTTTAAGAATCTGAATACAGAAGTCCCAGTATATGCTTCCTAAGGGTCAGTTCTTGACCAAAACGCGAAATACCGCCCAAAACCGCTTGTTTCACCCTCCCACGGACGCCACCTGGGCGGCACGGGTCCCTCCGCGTGTTTGAAGGACTAGCTGGGTCATTTTGGGTTACAGGTGGGCACCCCGCACTGTAAAGTACTCAAGAACGAAGGCCCACGCACCTCCAAGGTCACACAATTAGGCGCACATCACGTATTTTGCCTAGATTCGGAATAGGGGTAGGTTGGGTAAGAAAAGTACACTCGGGACATTCCACGTGAATCCAACGACGGTTTGGAATCGAGGTCCTCGGATTTCGACCTAAGTGGTATCAATCGATTCGGTATCGGCCCCTGACTCACTATGTAAATTTTTTTGAAAAAATTTTGAACGGTTTAGTTTTTGCACCAGTTTTATGATTTTATAAGTTTAAAAATAGTAAAAACAAAAAAAAAATTTCAAAATGTTTTGTAGGTGTTCTTGAGGGTTTAGGAATGTGGTAAAAGCATTAAAAGTTGTTTTAGAACCATCTGGGAGGTTTTAAGGGTAGTAAAAATGGTGAATTTTGGTGAAAATTTGACAAATTTCACCGTTCTGAAAATACGTCATCATGGATTTTGGCCAAACTTTTTTTTTCTTTTCCTCTACTATTGGTGCATACTCTCTTAAGAGGGTTTGGATGGCCCGCCACAATTTTTTCTTCTGGAGCCTATAACATGTCTAATTGCGGCATATTTTTCCCTTTAATTGACTGTTTTTTTGTCGTTTCTCTCATGCGCTTACTTGGTCGACCATGCAGATCACTCAAAGTAAGGATATCAGAACCCAACACAACTCCTGATAGCTAGCTCTTCTATATGCAGACTTTCACTCTACAAAAAATGTCCTGTCAACGCCGTTAATTTATTACCAATGTTTGCTGTTATGCAATTCACGGCGTTTGCTGTGAACTAGTTCACGGCGTTCACTGTGATCTCGGTCACAGTGTTCACTGTGATCTGGCCACAGTAAACGCCGTGAATTGGAGCCTGATTGGCAGTACTTCGGTGCTCAGTGGCGTCAAACTCACAGTGTTTACTGGGGACCAGATCACAGTGAACACCGTGAACAAGATCACAGTGAATCCCGTGACCAGATCACTGTAAACGCTGTGAATTGACCTACAGTAAAAACTGGTAATAAATTAACGGCATTTACAGGACCTTTTTGGTAGAGTGTTTAGGGACCCATGCAATCATAATCATAGATACTTTAAACAAATTTATTTTATTTTGAGCACATTTTCACTCATAGATCTCGACTAACCTGAGACATGGAGTTTCGAAGTGAACTTTATGTAGTACAGCACATGTTTCAACTTAATTACTCTTTTCATTAAGAATTTCTGAATCTTGCCATCCTTAAATAGTGAGTTGTCACTAAACTTTTGTCCACTTCCAAACTCCATGTCTCAGGTTAGTCGAGATCTATGAGTGAAAATGTTCTCAAAATAAAATAAATTTGTTTAAAGTATCTATGATAATGATTGCATGGGTCCCTAAAAGTCTGCATATAGAAGAGCTAGCTATCAGGAGTTGTGTTGGGCCCTGATATCCTTACTTTGAGTGATCTGCATGATCGACCAAGTAAGCGCATGAGAGAAACGACAAAAAAACAGACAATTAAAGGGAAAAATATGCCGTAATTAGACATGTTAAAGGCTCCAGAAGAAAAAATTGGGGCGGGCCATCCAAACCCTCTTAAGGGAGTATGCACCAATAGTAGAGGAAAAGAAAAAATAAGTTTGGCCAAAATCCATGATGACGTATTTTCAGAACGGTGAAATTTGTCAAATTTTCACCAAAATTCACCATTTTCACTACCCTTAACACCTCCCAGATGGTTCTCAAACAACTTTTAATGCTTTTCCCACATTCCTAAACCCTCAAGAACACCTACAAAAAATTTTGAATTTTTTTTTGTTTTTACTATTTTTTAACTTATAAAATCATGAAACTGGTGCAAAAACTAAACCGTTCAAAATTTTTTTCAAAAAAATTTACATGGTGAGTCAGGGGCCGATACCGAATCGATTGATACCACTTAGGTCGAAATCCGAGGACCTCGATTCCAAACCGTCGTTGGATTCACGTGGAATGTCCCACCCGAAGCTCGGGTAAGAAAAGTACACCCGTTATATCTCCGAACTGAAACTACACTGAACCATCACGTTAGTGGTTTTAGAAAGATTGGTCATCCCGCTGGCAACAAATAAATTTAGCCCAGTTCTACATATAATATTTAGAATCAAACTGCACGTTTGAAAAACACATTAAAAATAACTATGAAAATCTTTTTTTAAATATTTGTACTTTGAAGTACAGCTTCCTGCAGAATCAGCCGACAGTCCAATGTAAGGTACCACCTTATAGCTTAGACCATCATCTTTAAAAAACAGTGCCGTTCGATGCTCTTAGGCTGCAACATAATTTTTTATAAGTGTAAAAATGAAATGGGGAAGAAAAGTACAGTCGGCTGGGGAAGAAAAGTACAGGCATTGGGGAAGAAAAGAACACCCTCTAAGAAACTAAAAGCGGGATGAAAATTGAATTGATCACAGAAATAGATTTGATTAGGCGAGACAAGCAAAAAATGTCAACACAAGTTATAGAATTAGACTCGAAATAAACAAGTTATTGGGCATTTACGTGAAAAGGGGAAGAAAAGTACAAAAATGCTGTACCCACTTATCTCTGAGAAAAGGCTTCTTGGACCTTCTGTGATGAGTCCATGTAGTAGAATCAGAAACAATTGACCGATTTTGACGAAACTTGAACTAATGGCAAGTGAAAGCTCTTCACTTTAGGGGTAAACCTGTATTGAGCCAAGATTGGTGGTCTCCTGGTTCGAACTCGCAATTCTTTTCGTTGTACTTTTCTTTCCCGGTGGTGTACTTTTCTTACCCTTTTCGAGGAGTTCCGAAATCACATACATTTTGCCATGTTGTACGTAATGTGGGGAACTATAATCAACGAACAGTGATCCATTTCATTAGGAAGGCATTGGATTACATGTTCACGAGAGCAGACTAGTTGAATCCTCATTCGGAACTTCTGTACAGTGCAAAGTACGCGTTTTGTACTTTTCTTCCCCAACCTACCCCTGAGCAGCGGAGCGCCTGGGAGGTAGGCCGTCCCGTCGACCTCTGCAGTGTTCTTGGTGGCCTGCCGGGGCGCCTCGCTTGCGCCCACTGGTGAACGAGCAGGCAACCCAGTGCTGCTCTCTGTTGGACCAGGGGGCGGTAACACCCTAAAGCGGCAGTGAGGTGAAGGTCTCGCTCCGATCTTGCTCTGTGCAGAGGTCACAGACTGCTTCGAAATTATTCAAACTAGGCCACTGTTTGCAAATCGCCTTGCACATATCGAAAGAGCATCACATAAAGGGTGCATTAGACTCATTGGCAATCCCCTAACTGCTGCTTCTCAGCCCTCAAAAAAACAAAGTGAAAACACGGAAAAATACAATAAGTCTAATAATTAAGGAAATAACCTCGGGGGCGCCCGCGCCAGCGGGATGACCAATCTTTCTAAAACCACTAACGTGATGGATCAGTGTAGTTTCAGTTCGGAGATATAACGCACTGAGAAAACCTTACAAACTATTTTGGGCCTTACTAAGAAAAGTAGTTTGTATAACAAAGTATTTTGAGCATACGTAAGCTAAGGGGTATTGAAATGCACGTTTTTTTGAATTCCATACCGGCACACCCGGAAAAGGGTTCATTCTGACCTAAAACCACCGCAAACCAAATTTGAGACCGATCGAAAAATATTTAGGGGTCGCTACAATGGCTGAAAGTTGTAAATTTGACGTAATTTTTAACAAAATACAACTTTGGAGTATTTGAAGCCCTGCGCATCCGGTGTTGGTCCTAGCTTGTTGCCCCCGGAAAATTTTTTTTCCCGGGATCCAGGCCGACCAAAAGAACCCGACGGGATGCGTTTCGAGCGAATAATAAGGGAACTGGGTCCATTTTACGCTCAAAAAAGTGTTTTTTTCGCCGCTTTTAGTGCTTTAGAGGCCTACCAAACGTTTGCCTTGCGTCACAAAAAATTTAAACCCATGTATTTTGATAGAAAAAAGGTTGCTCTTTCAAATGGCGGTCACGGAAACAGTCTACGATTTTTGGTTTAGGCTCCAGGGCCGTTTTAAGTTGAAAAATGGACTTAATTTTTGTGAAAATTAGAGCAAATGTTCACTCTTAGTCACGTGCGACGTATGGTTTGGCCACTGGCGCTACCCGGCGAAGTGCAGGAGGTCGATGGGTCCTACAGACAAAATGCGATCTCCAAACGACGCGCAAACAAAGTTCGATCTCCAATGTCCCGCTAAACAAAGTTCGATGTGCTCAAATACGGGGCACGTGAATCTATTTTCAAGTGGCCATATTAAATGATTTTATTTCGTTCTATTGCTAGCTTTAACACCTATGTTTAGGTAATGCACTG